TTAGAGCAAGTTGTCTTGAATTTAAGTTGCTTAAAATATTGTACCCAAAAAGTGATTTAGAAAAAGTCTAAATAAAACTCTATAGGATGTAGGAAGGCCAATCGTTAGGAAAACCCAAGTCACCTAGATTCATGGATCTCTAGCTAAAAGTATAAAATTTTAATATAGATGCTTCTTTGGAAACATATTTTGTTATTATTTGGGGTGATGCGTGACAATCAAAACTCTGCAATGTCTTTTCATGTAATAAATCTTGAGTGAAATCAAAGCACTGAAGATTCAGTGTAACTATTATTTATTTTGTGATATATGGATAAAAAATAACAGCTAATTAAATAATGTGATATTTTTGTCTATATTTTACAAAATAAATAACAATTATACTGAACTTTCAATGTATCCATCGCACTAAAAATTTATTCCTCTCCTTTGCGCAAGGTACAAGTTGAAACGCGTTCATTTTGGCCGGATTGTGATATGACATTTCATTGAGTCAATTTGTTTTTGGGAAAATGGTGTATCATTTCAAAGGACACAAAATTGTGTCATTTTAAGTGAGAGAAAGGAAAAAATCATGGAAGAGGGAGTGGAAGAAAAAAGTTTAAAAGATGTGGATCCTACCTCTTTGTGAGAGTGAAAGGATGTAAAGTGTGTCATTTAAAATGACACACCTTTTTTCCTTTATTTTTACTGATCATGACTTAATTATGAAGACGAAAACTGAGCTAACATGCAATTTATTTTAGACCAATAATATATATATATATGGATGGATCCGAATTCTCTCATGTGAAAAAAAATATGTATAGTCATGTGAAAAATTATAAGTTATAACCATACAAAGGTGGATCAATAGTAATAAAAGAATAAGGAGAAAAAAAATATTATAATAGGTATTTACAAAATTATGACCGTTGATTTACCTTTCCATGATTGTGATCTTTCCACATGACCATGTCATGTTTTTTTTTCACATGAGATGATCCATTTCCATATATGGATATATATGGGCTTTATGCATAACATGTCACAAGATAAAAATAACATTTCTTGCAGACACAATAAACTGGTGGGGTCCACCAGTTTATTTTTCTCACTTCTCAATTCATTTTCTCGGTCCTCATTTTACTTTATCCTACAATATTATTGTGGTATTTCCTTATATATATATATATATATATATATATATATATATATATATATATATATATATATATATGTGTGTGTGTGTGTGTATATGTATATCTATCTAGAGAGAGAGGAGTAGGGATGTAAATACGCTAGGCCAGGCTTTGTATTAAATAAGTCAAGTTTGTATAAAGAATATTGGATTTGGTCTGACCTATTAGTCTGTGTATGCCTCAAATTACAAGTATGTTTTGACCTGTATTTAAAAAGTAAAAGTCTTTACTTAGGCCTTCTAGCCTGTTTAAACCTATTAAACATTCAACAATTAAAAGAATAACTAAAATAATATTACTTTATTATTCAAAATTATTAAAATAATAATTTTATTTAATTAATTTAAAATAAATAATATGATATAGGTCGGCCTGTAAATTTATAGATCCAACATGTACCAAAAAGTTTATGACCTGTTTTCTAAATAAATTTTTTTAAAAATCAATGTATTTTTTATTTTACTATTTATAATAGGTCAAATATGACTTAATATAGACTAAGTTATAGGTTTTTATAGGCCGACCTCATTTGTATACACCCATAGAGAGAGAGAGAGAGAAAGGAGGGGGGGGGGATGATTGAGACAATTTTTTAAACTAGACCCAATTCAATCATAGCGCAGTCTCAAATTTTAGCGAATCTAAGGCTGAATTTTAGACAAAATGTATAAAAAAAAAATCTTAGAAATAGTTAAAGGGTTCGGTGTTTGTTATTTTAAATGACATAAATTGTGTAATTTTAAGAGAGATAGATACAAGAAATGAAAATCATAGAAGAGAAAGTGGGTGATTTTTTTTTAAATTTAAATTTTAAATAAAAAAAATTATTTTATGTCTCTCTCTCTTAAAATGACATAATTTTATGTCATTTAAAATGACAAACACTTTTCTCATAGTTAAATCACAAAAAATTAAGTGGATATTTTATAATATATATTTTAAACAAGTATTATCTATGTAAAAATGTTATCCTAATATATATTTTAAACAAGTATTATCTATGTAAAAATGTTATCCTATTATACGTAAAATAATAATTTTCAGTCAAGAAATTTTACAATTTTTTAATTTTTATTAAATTGTAGAAATCAAAATATCATACAATATTAGGTTAGGCTAGACTGAGTATTACCTACTCAACCAATTTAAAATGTCAAAAGAATCAAATCCAAAAACACATAAAAATTAATATTTCGAACCCAACTCCAATTCAATTAGTTTAAAGTTCTATTAAGCTTCAATAAGTGTAAAACTTTGAGGACTTTGGTTAATTTATATCAATGTATGTGAAATCTCAAGAGCATCAGAGAAATGTTTTATATGTAAAAAAAATGCTGAAAAATGCCACTTAGATACGATTATGGTTTGATAAAAATAAATGTTAAATGCTAATTTTGTTGTTGTTGTTGTTAATTATGCGTATGCATGTTAAGCATTGACATGCGATTATTATAGAAAAATGTTGAAAAATGCCACTTAGATGTGATTATGCTTTTAATAAAAATATGTGTCAAATACTAGTTTTTTGTTTTGTTATATGCATGGATGTTAAACGTTAATGTGCAATGTTATCAAAAAAAAAAAAAAAACGTTAATGTGCAATAAACATTAATATGTGATTACAAGAGAAAAAAATGTTGAGAAATGTCAGTTATATATGATTATGCATTTAATAAGATATATTTGCTAAATACTGATTTTTCGTCATATGCATCCCTGTTAAACATTATGACCTGCAATTATATGCATATAAACTAGCTAGATAAACATTAATATGTGATTAGAATAAAAAGATGTTGAAAAATGTCACTAACAAGTGATTATGCATTTGATAAAAATATATCTTAAATGTAAACTTTCTGTCATATGTATGCATGTAAAATATTAATGTAAGAATATATGCATATAAGCTAGCTAAGCCTCAATATGTGATCACTATAGAAAAAAAATGGTGAAAAATGTCACTTAGATATAATTATGCGTTTCATAAAAATACATGTTCAATAATAATTTTTTTGTTATATGTATGCATTATAAACATCAATGTTCAGTTAGATTCATATTATAAGCTAGCTAAAGATTAATGTGCTTACATGCTAAATATTAATGACTTCCATTATTTTGGAATTTGTGTAGTTTGTGATTATTGATCCATTTATCTTATGAAACATTTGACCTTTTTTTTGGGTATAAACATTTGACTTTTTAATAATTATATTTTATAGTCAACTGTAATTTGTTGTGGTTACATGCTGCCTTTTAATTAGAACTTCGAGGTTACACCATATGAAAACATTCCTTTAAGTAACATATATTTTCTATATCAGACTTTATCATTCCGTGTTTACAAAATAAAAATAAATAAAAATTATCATTCCGACTCAATCTTTGAACACGAAACAACTCCGGTAATTCGTATAAAGAAATTTAAGAAATGAACAAAAACGTTATTTAATAATCATTAAATTTATATATACATAAACAAAAAATATTAATTAGTAAGTTTAATTTCACGAGGTTACATTTTTTGTGATTCGAACAATGCTCCAATTTGTTAGGGAAAAAAAAAAACAATACTGAAACATGCATGAGGAAGAAATTCTGTATATAAGAAATTATACAAGCAGCGACATAAAATTAAAACATGAAAGAGACATATAATATGAGCGCATGAAGAGATACGAAATTAAAATAATTGCCCTTGTCTACTTAAAATAATTTGTTTCCTTTATAATGCTAAAAAACAATAGATAAATGTCTCTCAGGAACGGATTACCCGTCTTATAACTGGCTGTACTTTCACAGTGCAGGAATTCTTTGAATTCAACAAAATGCTTAAATAATCACACGAAGCTAATGGAGAAAGGAGAATAACCTTAAAAAAAATGCACCGAATTCAATATAGAATCTCCTGATTAATATAAAGTATGGAATATAAGCACTTGACCAAGAAGACAGCTCTTCCCCAAAAAAGACATCTCTCCAAAGATACATATTTTCACATTCCCTTTTCCAAGTTTTTTACTTATACTCATAATTAATTTTAACATATACTAGTTCCTACTAGCAGCACGCATACTAAATTATTAATCAAGGTATACGGTCAAGTGATAAATCATGATTCAATTACTTAAATAGTTTTTTTTTTTTAAAGAAAAAATCGTTAGATTTAAATCTACGAAATAGTCTAATGCTTTCACGAACATTACACATTAAATATTTGTAATGAAAAATTTTACTAATGAAAAATTTTAAATTCAATCTTTTATTATGACTCTCAATTTTTTGTCTGGGGCTGTGCCAACTCTTGACTGAGTCATGGAAGTAAATTTGGGTTGTCTGTTCTTGAACCGAATGGGCTACACAAGGGATTTCAGCCGGCACATCTCGCTTTCAGAGACCAACGAACCCTGCAGGGAAATGGCCGCGTCGTTAGGCTGACGAGTAGGCTTGGCAACTTAGTGCTGACATGGCGATACATTGGGCCCTACCTGTCGGCCACTAACCCCCATCCCTACGTGTTTCGTGGCCCACATGTCTCCCAGCGAAGTTCAAAAACAAAAATTTGTATAATCTTTGTCTCTCGGACCCAGCATGAGTTCCCCAGCGTCGTTCCAGAGCTAGTATTTGGTGCGGCTTGTTAACGTGGCTACCGATGACCTGGACTATGACATGGCACAAAATTTTTGGGGCGCTATAAATACCCTCCCCCCTTTCTCCTCCATTACACCCATCCAGTTCCTTCAAGTATTTCTCATCTTTCTCTTTCTTCCTTCCTTCATCTTTCTCTTTCTGTGATTAGAGTCCTAAGAACCCATCATGGTCGTTGAGATGTCATCCCCTCTTGTCCCTGTTTCAGCTAGTGATGAGAAGAGCGTAAAAGCACTGCAGTTCGTTGAAGAAATGACCCGAAACACTGACTCTGTCCAGGAGCGTGTCCTGGCCGAGATTCTGAGCCAAAACGCTGAGACAGAGTACCTGAAGCGGTTTGGGCTCAATGGAGCCACTGACCGTGACACTTTCAAGTCCAAGGTACCTGTCGTTACTTACGAGGATCTGCAGCCTTATATTCAACGCATTGCTAATGGTGACCGCTCTCCCATCTTTTGCAATCGCCCAATCTCCGAGTTTCTAACCAGGTACGCTGCCATATTCTTTCTTATAATTTAAAATGCATTACTTTTTCTTTCATAAGTTATTTGCTTTGGGATCATGCTTCAATGAATGTAAATTACACGACAGTTCTGGAACTTCTGCCGGAGAAAGAAAATTGATGCCGACCATTCATGAAGAGATGGACCGTCGCCAGTTACTGTACAGCCTACTCATGCCGGTTATGAACCAGTAAGACGTTTCGGTTCATTCATTGTTTCCAAATAGTTATATATGAATTGTAACTATAGTAACTTTTTCATTTATTAACTATGTTTTTTTTTCTTAATCTGATTGCACAGATACGTGCCTGATTTGGACAAAGGGAAAGCGCTTCATTTCCTGTTTATTAAAGCAGAGACCAAAACTCCCGGTGGGTTAGTGGCACGTCCAGTGCTCACGAGCTATTACAAGAGTGAACAATTCAAGAACAGGCCATTTGACCCATACAATGTGATAACAAGCCCAAATGAAACCGTCCTTTGCCCTGATTCCTTTCAAAGCATGTATACCCAGATGCTATGTGGCATCATCATGCGCCACGAAGTCCTCAGAGTTGGAGCTGTTTTTGCCTCTGGCCTTCTCAGAGCCATTCGATTCCTTCAGCTTAACTGGCAGCAATTAGCACATGACATCTCCACTGGAACCCTAAACTCCAAGATCACAGATCCTTCCATCAAGGAATGCATGGCTAGCATCTTGAAACCTGACCCAGAACTTGCTGATTTCATCACGAAGGAATGCTCCGGAGAAAACTGGGAACGTATAATCCCAAGGATTTGGCCCAACACAAAGTACCTTGACGTGATAGTCACGGGTGCTATGGCTCAGTATATTCCCACACTTGATTATTACAGTGGTGGCCTACCTAAGCCTTGTACCATGTACGCCTCTTCTGAGTGTTATTTTGGGCTTAACCTCAAGCCTATGTGCGATCCCTCTGAGGTTTCTTACACAATTATGCCAAACATGGGTTACTTTGAGTTCTTACTCCATGATGACTCGTCTCCTATAACTCTGTCTCGTGACTCGCCACCTCGCCTGGTGGACCTAGCCGATGTTGAACTTGGTAAAAGGTATGAGCTGATTATAACAACCTATGCTGGTCTTTGCCGTTACCGTGTGGGCGATATCCTCCAAGTAACTGGGTTCCACAACTCAGACCCGCAGTTCCGATTCGTGAGGCGAAAGAACGTCTTGTTGAGCATTGATTCGGATAAGACAGACGAAGCTGAACTGCAAAAAGCTATTGAAAATGCTTCTGAGTTACTGAAGGAATTCAATACCAGCATAGTTGAGTACACGAGCTTTGCTGATACTAAATCCATCCCAGGACATTACGTGATTTACTGGGAATTGTTGATGAAGGACTCTTCTTACCCGCCAACAAATGAAGTTCTGAACAAGTGCTGCTTAGTCATGGAAGAGTCACTGAACTCGGTTTATAGACAAGGAAGAGTCGCCGACAATTCTATTGGACCATTGGAGATACGAGTGGTGATGAATGGAACCTTTGAGGAGCTGATGGACTACGCTATCTCGCGGGGTGCTTCCATTAACCAGTATAAAGTACCAAGGTGCGTGAGCTTCACACCCATAGTGGAACTACTCGATTCTAGGGTGGTCTCCTTTCATTTTAGCCCAGCTGCACCGCACTGGACCCCAGAACGTCGTCGTTGAAGACACGTGCAACATGCAGTCATGCACAAGATAATTAATAATTAAGGGTAAAGCTGAAAAGGGTTGTTATCATCACTACCAAACCAGAAAGTATCCGTATTTGTTGATTTGATATTTCAAAAGTGCTGGCTTTTTTCTTCTTTTCTACCTTATCTGTTTTTTTTCCTTTTCTTTTGTTTTTTGGCCGTGGCTTTGTTAAACAGTTACGCGCTATTTAACTTTTTTCTGTCTGTGAAATAAGTTCAATGCTTCAAATGAGTGCACCATGTAATTGTCTAATAAATGCTTGTTTATCCTTAGTATGTAAACCATGTTTGATTTATGCATCTTAACGTTTAGAAAAGGCATCGAAAGCTCAGATGACGGAAATCGTTAGTGTTTAGTGTGTCTGGATTTGGTAAGGGTTGAACTTTTGATGTGATCACAATGGTCAAAGTTTGAAGTTATATATTTCAATAGGCTCTATGCGGGTGTACTGTTGTGCACGTGCTAGATATTCTGTCTGTGGCACTAGGTTTATAATTAGCAGGAAAGTAGAATATGAAATGTGTTAAGTGCGAACCTTAGACTTAACTTTTAACTTTTAATGAATAAAAATCTATGAGGCATTGTGTTTTTGGAAGCATCTCAAAAGACTTTTATAGCGCACTGATGCGGACGGATGAGTGCGTGGGTACGTGAGGGAGCTTGATTACTGTCACATTTGACAGCCTTAATATTATTTTTCCATGATTATTTAATTACTGTAGATTAAATTTGGTAGCCTTTTTAACTAACATCTTTGACTATCTTTACCTTCTGAGTTAAGGAGAAGAAAATAAGTAAAGGTGCAAACGCACAGGAGGATAATTTCTGCATGCTATGGAACTTTGGAAATGGCAAATTGGAATTGTACATGCTTTGATAATCAAAACAAGAGTGACAAATTCCATATATATTGATTTTTACCTTTTCAGCTAGTTAGTTGACATATTTGATTCCTCTTTAACCTATTTGACCAATTAATAAGCGCAACACGTAGCGGAGATAGAGTGTTGTATTCAATATTGCTGTCATCAAAGAAAGAAGAAAAAGAGTGGCAGTTGTAATGTTGTACTTGAACGGTCATTAAAGCAACCCAACCAAAAAATAAACCGTCGCAATCTACCAAAACAACATAAAACAAACCGTCGCATTTGTTAAGCGCGTGACCTAGGAATAGAAGTGTCTGATGCATGCGAAAATATCTCTGGTACTCTTTAGGGTTTAGGGTATATAATTACGGTCAATGACATATGCATTTTATTATCATTTTAAATAAAAAAAAATTAGTACTCTTATAATACTAAATATACATGGTCTTGCTGAGTTTATCCTATATTTTTATCCCGTAATACTGAAATAGTTTTAATAATGTCCTAATTTTTTATGCTTTTTCATATGGAAAAAATTGTGAGAAAAAATATAAATCTGAAATTTTTTCTCTCCTTTTTATCTTAAAAATTATATATAGGAAAGTATATTTTTGTACAGGAAAACTTTTTTTTTGGCAAAAGTCCCACAAATTAATTAGAGAATGGGTTAATGGCTAACCTTACTAGCTATCTGAGAACGCCTTGGGAGATATATAGTTACCCCAGTTCAATACCTGATAAGTGATAACTGAATGTGTATTTGGTATTATAGATTTTCCCCGCCTTAATCGTATCATCATTTTCAAAACAGAAAGCTTGTAAACTAGTTTGACAGCTATAAAAATGTTGTCTATTAAAATTAGACAATGGTTACGCATTTAGCTTCGGTAAAATTTACCTTCTTATCTACTTAAAAAAAAATTACCTTCTTTAACTTGGTCTTATATCATTCATATATGATTATGTGATTTAAAATGCGACATTTTTCTCCTAAGTTTCGTGTAATTAACCCTCGCTCCATGTGATTTTTTTTTTAATTCATATCATGCAACATGGTCGTGAAGACACCTTTTGTAGTTTCATATTTTATTTTATTTTTGCCTATATATTTCGTAAATATATCATATTATGCTTGTAAAGTTTATCTTATAAACAATAATTAAGTTGATATAATGTTTACAAACGTATCTATGTGCAAAAAATATGTCCGGACATATTTTGTGAGTGTTAATCTTATTTATATACTAATTATGTGATATTTTGTATCCATGTGAGGGTAATAACTCTCTAAATTCTAAGTAATAAGAGAAGTATCAAGTTTTGGGATTGACTTTGTGACTATAGCTTCTCGTTTAAGTAATCCAACATCATTTATATATGTGAGCTTTTCATTAATTTTTTTTTTGGGAAATATTAGAATTTCTTTGAAAACATATATAGTAAGCTTGAAATTGATAAATGATGGAAAAGATACTATGCAGCAAAAATATTATTTTTTTTATGTGACAGGATAGTAAAATGAAATCGGATTAAACAAAATTAGTGCTGATTAGAATTTGCATTTATACTATGGGCTTCGATGCTATATCTGTTGTATATTCTTTATTTATTTTTTAAAGTTACTGTATAGTCTTTAGTTTTCGACGGGAAGGTCCGCACCCAAGTCATGTTTAATTGAATAATGGCGAGGAAATATACTGTAGTAAAAAGGATATCGTGATAACTAATGTAATAGAAGTTTGCTTAACCTTCAAAGTCTGACTCTCGCCGTTAGTGTAGTTTTTTAAACTCCCCCGTCCACCCAATGGAGAGAAAAAAAAAAAACGTTCTTTCAAAGTGGGGCAAAATATCTCACTAGATTCTAGCTTTTCTAAGTTAATTGAATAGAACAACAGGCAATACTAAATGTAATAGTTCATGGTCGGAATAAGGTTTTTAAAGTGATAGGAAGCTGTTAAAGTAAAATCCTTGAATGTCTTCTTGTCTGTTGAGAAGCCTCATCAATAATCTTGGCCCTTTTCAGTGAACGTAAAATCTGGAAAGTTCTCACAATAAAAAGAAACAAAAGTAAATAAAAGCGTATCCTAAAGTCGAGTAAAGATAATAATTATTTCAATGATTTGTTATTATTATAAGTGTAAGATTTTTTCATATTATTATCAAATTGAGTATGTATTAGCATTATTTACATTTTTTAAAAATTGTTATTACTATAGTTAAATTAATTTACTAAAAAAAACTACCAAGATAAAAAATTACTAAAAATATGAAAACATATATTGATAATATAAAAAATAACCCTATTCCAATTTGATCCAGTGCCCTACCCGACTGATACTAAGGGCGTGTTTGGTGTGATGTATAAAGCATGATAGTATAAGCTTATACTATATGTTATGACATTTTCAGTTGTTTAGTGTGACCATCGTATAATATAAGCTTATACAACATGACCCCTTTATACATCAAAATGATGTATAACTTAATCCGGCCTAGGAGTGGTTGATTAAGCATGATAAGAGATTAATGTATTAATATTACTTACAAGTATAATTCCCAAAAACTAATATATCATTTCAATATTTATATATTAAAATAATTTTTTAATATATTAATTTTTAAAATATTGGAGGATATTATATTATACAATATCATACCAAACGCTGGATAGTATTAAAATTTAATCAGGTCTTATACAATCAGGTCTTATACTATCAGATCTTATACTATCAGACCTTATCCTATACTACGCACCAAATAACCATTAATAACCTTCTGGCCTATTGGGACAACATGAAATCGCAATGATGATAAATTTCCCTTTTTTCAAGACAGCAGGGTAGCTTGCATGCTTCGGAGTAAATAGGAGCTCAGAAAGGTCATGGCATGAATAATAGAGATATTAACCAGGTTGGGCTAAAGCAAGATGATTAAATTCCAGTTCAGGCTTTGTACGAAGAGAAAAATGGACCATGTGCGTTATTGTCCCTTACCGGTACAACATCTTCGTACATGCTTTTACTTGTCCATTTGTCTGCCTCGTACAGCGTCACCTCTTATTTCTTTTCCTTTTACGTGTTTGTCCCTTCTTTAGATATGCAAGTAGGGCTCTCTCGAATTAGGCCCATGGTAAGAATGAAGAGGGCTTTATTAATTCTACACTGTAGCTTTTGTAATTACGTAATGCTGAAATGGTTGGACCACGATACATATGCAAGTTTTGGGTAACCTTTTGATGCTTATGCTATGCGTTGCCAAGCACTGCAGTAGTTCATTGGTTGGTCTAGACTTTGATACTGGATATTTTCTCTGTTTCATCAGCCTAATGGTCCTTTTAATTTTTTATTAGAGGTCCAACAGTTAGTGTGAAGTGGAAAAAAAAAATGGGCTAAAGAACAAGCTAAACAGCATTGCTATTCGATATTAAGTAATCTTCTAGAAAACTTGATGCCAATTGGCAGCTTTTGAAAGCCTAATAATGTCTCTAATGTTTGTGTAGTTTGTATTGGTGTGTACCAAATTACTAATTTTAAACATGCTATTTGCAGCTAACACTGGGGGGGAAAAAGAAAAAGGAAAAACTTGACAGCTTGTATAATTTGGAGTAGGGATGAGAGGCCATATTAGATATGTCGGCCCATGTTAAACACATGCTGGGCCTGACTCACATTAATTTGTATTGTGAGTCTGTTACCATCACATATAATAATTTAAGATTCTTACAAATTTTAAAAAATATATTAAATAATAGACCAGTATTAATTATATGTTTTGTAATAATAATCGTTAAATTATATGTATTTTTTAATAACTTTATTTTCGTAAGTTTATTTATTAAAAAAATATTAAGAAATAATAGTGTTTTATAAATTCTTATCTCTTTTTAAAATAAATAAATCATAATATAAAGAGGAAGAGATTTTTGTCTTTTACAATGGTCGCATTTTTTTTATCCTTTCGCCGTCTTGGGCCCTACCTGTTGAAATCGCTCTGGAAGAAATAATTTGTATATGATGGGGAGAGAAAGAGGTGGTCCCGCATCTTATGAAGTTAACTTCCACGGCTCTAATTTAATGAGCTCTATAACCCAAATAGTGTTTTTCTACCGATAAATATAATAAGGGTTATACTTCTCATGTAAGTGAAATAAATTTTTTATATATATATAAAAGAGAGACGGGTCCTATTTTTATTTTTTTCTCTCCATTTATCTATGAATTTTATTTATAATTTTGTATTTATTACATGAAATAACTTTTTTCCTATAATATAAGAAAATTATTTTTTATATAATAAATATGAGTTTGAGTTGATGAAAAAATTATTTATATTTGGAGTGGCTAATGATGTGACGGCTAGCACTTTTTTGTGTTTTTAACGTGTGGTAAGGGAAAATATTTAATATGATTCAGGATCACTGAATTTTTTGATGCTCTTTCACATCATTAATTTTTTCTTTCTCTTTTTACTCTTGTTATTTTCTCTCTTTTCAATTTTATCCTCTTATTTATATTAAAAGACCACTTGAAAAATAATAATCCCGGTTCACAATAAATAATCTCGTGGAAAGGGGATTGTGGCATGGCATGTATAATATTTTATTTTTTGGTTTAGATATTATATGGAGTCGATGAAGCTTAATCCACACGGTCTTGGATTTTCCTAACCACGTGTCACAATATATCTTTTTTTTTATAAAATAGTACGTTTATTTTACTGAGTTTAGAATAGAGAAGTCCAAGTATCCAAAAAAAAAAAGAGAGAATAGAGAATCCAAAGATTTGTTTACAATTTCCGGAGGACCACGTGAAGCTCGCGTTTGTGTGTACTAAAAAAAATTCCTGGTTCTTGGGTCTTGAGTCTTGACCCACGTAGAATTCGCAGCGTCAGAGTTTCCATTATCCAGAACGATAATTTTCTATAAGTTATCCGTACGATCTCTTGGAGTAATTTACTCCAAACTAAAAAGTAATTAAAGTAAGAAAATTATTTTTCATTCGAACAATTCACTAGAGATGTAGTTTTAAAATTTTTATCTATTATCGTCATATGGGAGACACGTCTATGACGCTTGCACGTTGTTAAATTGAAAGAGAAAATGCAAGAAAATAAACATTAGCATAAAATTTATATTATTTTTATCTTAAATTAGTTAGAATCGTGGTGGATGAACTAAAATAAAAGATAAAAAAAATAAAGTGAATTTTTTCATATCAAAATTTCATATTACTTTGATTATGTGGAAGATCTCATCCGTTCATTTATAAATAAATGAGCGCAATTTAAACAAAGAAATTCCTAAAACAAGAAAGTATAAGTGGTCACTTTTATTGCTGACCATTAATCTATGAATGAATAGTTGAGATTTTTCATATAACTAGATTATGTAAAATTTCACATGAGAATATTTATTCTAAAATAAAGATTAAGGGAAAAAATATTAAATAAAATAAAAATTTCAAAATAAAACAAAATCAAGGAAAAGAAAGAATGAAGGAATAAATTAGAAAAAATAATAACTTGATAAATAAAAGATTGAAAGGATCGTTTGTAACCTAAGAAAAAAAACGAGTATATCTCTCCACGATACTAGTAATTTTCTCTCACTATGTCTTAAGATGCATTATCTATTAATTTATTTCTCATTTCATTAAATATTGTCTTGCTATTTTTCCTCAAGTTAGTTTTGATTGACTTCTTCATCTGAGTGATGCTTGATAACAAGATTTTGTTCTTTCGGGAGGATCTAGAGTTTATGAATAATATACCCTAAACTATTTCAATCTATATTCTCTTGTCTTTTCATCCTGTTCTGTTCTTGAGGCAGGGATGTCCAGCCCAATAGGGTGATGCGTTTATCTTGATTTATCTTAGACCTAGTGCCCTCTCCAAGGTATCTATGAATGAGATACCCTTGAGTCAAGCAGATCACTGTGCACATAATATTATAACGGCGTTAGCCAATGGGGTATGTGTATGCGCACAGTGACAGCATAACAGTAAGAGAGAGAGAGAGCGTATCGTACCTTTAGGGTTTACCTTGTATTTATAGAGGTTACATGTGGGTAGCGTGGATAGGCCTTTGGTGCCTCTAATGAGGGCCCATGCATGCTTGCTATGCTGTCGTATTAGGATTAGTATCCTTGATGGATATCTATCCATGATTATTGCTGATTGAAATCTTGGATTGCCCATTGTTGGGCCTATCACTAATGGGCCCTTATATGGGTCCATAACACATCCATTATCATTGCTCTTATATTTCGTCGAGTATATTCATTTCTTATATTTTACATCATTGTATGATTGTACATCCGTCTTAACATTCTCATTTTTACTACTCTCATTTTATACTCATGTTACTATGTGTTTTAGATCATCATAACATTTTAAGCCTTACCATTGTTTTATGAATTTTGTCTTATAGCTTAAGAGAAATTTTGCGATGACACAAAATTTTTAATGCAATATGTTATTTCATATACCGTACTTTGATTATATGATTTACATCTTTTATCAATCTCTCATTCTTTTTCAATATTGATCCTAAATATCTAAAATTATCTTATCTTATGTCCTAACATATACTAACATACTTTTCACCAAATTCGAGTGAAGATGTGGCATTTTGCCTTAGGGCAAAGGCCTTAGCCAAACTTTCACTACACTTAGGGTTTAATGAAACACATTGTCAAGAAGGTATGCCTCAACAAAAAAACATTAGGGTTCATCTTATAAATATAACTATTTTCTTATACAGACAACTCACTATGTCCTCCTTTATCTTGACTTGGGACAAGTTATATATACACACATTGGCAGAGTTAAGAATCCAAGGAAATAAAAAACAAGAAAAATATGAAGGCTATAAATTAAAGAGAAACAATATATTTTTTTTACAAAATTTATTTTTATATTTTACAGAAAAAATTCAAAAAACCCATATGATTTTGCCTTGAATCACTTATACCCTATGGTTTTTTTAATCATTTACCCTTTATGGTTTCTTTCATCCAAACTCATCCTTAAAATTATTAGAAATTAATCTAATCTAACTATTTTACTCTTTTAAAATTATAAAATAGATACTCGGTCAAAACTTTGGGGATAGACCTAAGAACCTTTCGGCTTAAGGCCTCTGAATAGGTCAACCACCGCTAGCTGAACACTGACTCCAGCAACCTGGGTAATGGGTCTACGACCCGCCAGAGGCGGACAAAAGTGAAAGAGAAGGAGGGCACGTGCCCCTCCTTAAATTTTAAAGTGAAAAGTCTAAAATACCCCTAAATTAAAATTAAAATTTACTCCTATTTTATTTTTTACTTTTTCTTCTCCACCTGTTACCAGATCTGGCATCTCCATTAAACGAAATTCTGGTACAGCAGAAGCCAGAAGCAGTCCTCATCGGAGACAAAGAGGAGAGAGCTGTATAAGATTTTCTCCTCCACCCTTCATTTTTGTTCTCTTTTTGTATTTTCATTCCTATCATGTAAGTGTAATGGGTTAGATCTTATTTTATTTGACTTTTTTTTTGTGATTCTTATCAGATTTGATTCTTTCAGTTTCGTCCGCCTCTGCACCCAGACCCAGGTATTGTTACTCTTTACCTTCAATCTCCAATTATTGAGTGTTGTCGGTTTATTTATTTGTTTATTGATTTATTATAGGGAAAAATGTTTCTGCAGTTAATGCAGATAAGTTATCTGCATTTATTCTCAAAACGACGTCGTTTTGGTATTAAAATCTCAAAAAATTATAAATATAAAGACTATTATAACCCTGACATAAATTAAAATTACAAAAACACTATGATTTCCGCCCCAAAACGACGTCATATTGACTTACTGCAGATAACTTATCTGCAGTAACTGCAGAAAAAATAAACCCTTTATTATAATACTTTACTATAATACTTTACTAGATTTACTATAATTTAGAATCTGTAACTATAGGTTCTGTCGTTCTGGATAGTGGAATTCATATAGGATATCACAATATAAATGAAGCCAAAGCAGAGGCACATGCGTGATTGTAGGGTCATGATTCTAGGGAGATTCTTTAAATTAAGAAAGGGGAGGGTGATTCTAGGGTCTCCTTTAAATTAAGAAAGGCAAGTAGGAAGAGGGCTATTTCTAGCTTTTGTGAACATTATAAAAAGCTAAGTTTATTTAGTTGTTAAATAAACGGTCTTGGGATCACCAAGCGGAATAATAATGATATTAATTTTTAGGGGAATTCTAATCCATGAGATGAGAGGAATCCAATAAGCTAGGAAAGTGTTTTTTTATACAAAATCTGAAAAAACGTATATTCTCTTTAATGGGTTAATATTTCGGGTTCAAGCAAACATCTGTAGTGTCAAAATTGTCGTTTATGTGTATAGCACAAATAAGTTCTTTATTTTTAATCAGGCATTCAAGTGCTACATTATTTGGTAGAAAATATAGGTTTCTTTATGCATATTGAGTGTCGGTTTCTTTTTTTTATTGATTTATTTTTGTTATTTGTCATTTTTTAGGATGGAAAGATATGTAGGTTCTTTTTTTACAAAGTCAAGTAGTGGTAGTACTAAACGTGCTCGATCCGAATCTGCATCTGTTGATTTATTTCAAGATAAACAAAATGAGTCTGCTACTCCCTCGAGTCAGAACAAACCAACAGTAGAAGGTCAACCGGATTTGTATGTTCCTGATCCGGGTAAAAGACTTCCTATTATGAGATTTGCGAAGAGTGCTCAAGAAAGGGAAATGATTTGAGGAATTTATCTAATGAATGGTCCTTGTCAACCAAAACTGGACAACTTTCCTCAATCCTTAATTGGGGGTAAAATGCGTAGATTTAATCCTCAATGGTACAATGAGTTTGGCACTTGGTTGGAGTATAGTGAATCAAAAGATGCTGTATTTTGCTTGCATTGTTATCTATTTAAATGTGAGCATGGTGATGGAAGGGGTGGTCATGATTCATTTGCAGGAGAAGGATTTAGCAATTGGAAGGAAAAACAACGGCTTTTTAAACATATTGGGAAAGTTAGAAGCATTCATAAGTTGTGCTTCAGTGCTGCCAAAGATTTGATGAATCAAAATCAACATATTGACATTGTTGTGTCTGGCATTTCTGACAAAGCCAAACAGGATTATCGTATTCGTCTGAATGGTTCTATTCGATGTATTCGATATCTCATACGACAAGGTTTGGCTTTCCGGGGACATAATGAGACAGATGCTTCAATGAATCAGGGAAATTTTGTGGAGCTTGTAAAATTCATTTGTGAAAGCAATGAGGAGGTAAATAATGTATCTTTGAATAATGCCCCAGATAATCTCAAAATGATAGCTCCCTCAATTCAGAAAGATATTACTAGTGTTGCTGCTAGTTTAGTTACCAGAGCTATTATTTCAGATATTGGGGATAATTTCTTCTCTATACTAGTTGATGAAGCTCGTGATGTATCAATTAAAGAAAAGATGGCCATTGTTTTAAGATATGTGAACTGCAATGGTGACATTATTGAGCGTTTTCTTGGTCTTGTTCATGTTTCAGATACTACAGCTAGTTCACTTAAAGAAACGATTGAGATAATTTTTACCAAAAATGGCTTGAGCTTGACAAAGATTCGTGGTCAAGGTTATGATGGCGCAAGCAATATGAGTGGTCAATTCAGTGGTCTGAAAAGCTTGATTTTAGTTGAAAATAATTCTGCTTACTATGTTCACTGCTTTGCACATCAACTTCAGTTAGCTCTAGTAGCTTGTGCTAAAAAGGTTTACGCTTTGACTGATTTCTTTAATTTTATACTGTTGTTGTGTAATGCAGTTGGTGCTTCTTGCAAAAGAGCAGATATTTTGAGAGAAAAGCAATTTGATGAGCTAGTAAAAAGTATTGCAAGCGATGATGTTCAATCAGGGAGAGGCTTGAATCAAGAAATGAGTTTGTCACGACCAGGGGACACACGTTGGAGCTCACATTACCGATCATTGGTAAGTCTGTGTACATTGTTTGATCCTGTGCTTGATGTGCTAGAAATTATAAAAGATGATACAACTCTTATGCATGCAAAAAGGTCTGAAGCCTCTGGCCTTATGATGCGTATGCAAACTTTTGAATTTGTATTACTTTTGAACCTGATGATCAAGGTCTTGGCAATAACGAATGAGTTGTCACAAGCACTTCAAAGAAAAGATCAAGATATTGTAAATGCTATGACTCTTGTAAAAGTTTCAAAGGTGTTATTACAGAAGATGAGGGATAATGGATGGGATAATCTATTTAAGAAGACTTCTGATTTTTGTATAAAACATGATTAAGATATCTCTGATATGGAAAGTGTACTTGCATTACAAGGGAGAACAAAACGTAGAGGACCAGTTACTCATCTGCATCACTTTAAGGTTGACATATTTTATGCAGTGATAGATACTCAACTTCAAGAGTTGAATGATCGTTTTAGTGAAGTTAGTTCAAATTTGCTGGAATGCATGGCATGTTTAAATCCGTGCAACTCTTTCTTGGCATTTGACAAAAATAAGTTGTGTGAGTTTGCTGGCTGTTATCCTTCGGATTTTGATTTGAATGATTTTGTCATGCTTGAATATCAGCTCGACACGTATATTTTTGAAATGCAAAGTGATCCTGATTTTTTGAATTTACAAGGAATAGCTGATCTTGCCAAGAGGATGGTTGAAAAGAAAAAACATATTGTGTATCCTTTGGTTTATTTACTTGTAAAGTTGCATTGACTTTGCCCGTAGCAACTGCATATGTGGAAAGAGCATTTTCAGCTATGAAATACATCAAGACTGCACTTCGTAATCGGATTGGAGATGAATGGTTGAATGATTGTTTAGTGCCATATATTGAAAAAGATGTATTTGATAGCATTGGTAATGAGGCAATTATGAAGGAATTCCAAAAAATAAGGTCTAGAAGAATGACATTGTAATTATTTTTATTGTAATATACATTTATTATTAAAATATATGTACTTGAACTTGAGTGCCCCCCTTCTTCAAATTCCTGGACGACCCGCAATCTCTTGAATGCCACTCTCTCACTCCCATCCACTGCCTGCGAGATTATCGCTCATGGCCACTTTGCACCTCATTAACCATCACTAGAGACTTAATATAGGTCATGACAGTATAATGTAGGGGACTATGATCTGAATAGAACATAACTATTCACAGAGTATTCACTATCTCCGGGTGTTCACACACACCTCTGGTTATTGTTCATCGGACTGCTAGCTTGAGATGTGTACTTTTCATTACAAATTCTCTACCTTCATTTCGTAAATATAGGATCTATTTGATTGTGTTGTGATTTTTTTGTTCTTAAAATTGTTTTGATGGAAACATATGTTTCTTGTATTTTTTTTTTGTTTTGAAAATTAAAAGTCAAAACACAAAACAAAAATAATTCAAACATATTCTCTAAATTTGATTAAAAAAAATAGTTACAATTTTTTTTTTTACAAAACAGTCTTATCAAACGGATTGTTTTATTCTGAAAACCAAGAAATTAATTCTAGAAACAGAACAGTATTCAAATAGTGCCATAATTAATAATTTTCCAGCTAGACATCCTTGTTCACTTTCGAACATAAACAAATCAAAACATATACTTATTTAATTACCAAGAAAAACGAGAGCAAACAAAATTATATATTCCTTCCTTAACATGTAATGTGATGCATAGTTATATTAGTTTTTTAACTTTACATTTCGAAACTTGATTCTTACGAATAAATTTTTTATAATAAATATATGTACTAAAAATTAAGTTGATAGCATTTAAATTACATTTTTCTAATTAATTTTGAAAATAAAAAAAATTATGGTTAATTATTTTCGATTCGTAGTGTCTTAAAAGCATAAAATAATAATCTTAATTAAAAAATTGGGGAATATGTTTATCCTTTAATAATAAACAAAAAAATCATACAGAGACATAATTTGATGGGCATCACTATAAAAAAGAGGGGGGGGGGGGGGGGGGGGGGGGGAATCTAGCACAATTATTCATGGATATGTTGGAATGCTATTGAAGCTCTGAGTTTTCGGTGCATTTTTTATTTATAATATGACATGTTTTATTTTTTGTCAAATCACTCTCTCACTTGATATGAAATAAATTAGTTATTAATGATTTGACTAAAATAAGACACATAATCATATTGTGAGGGAAAGATGTAGCAAAAACTCAGTGCACGAAGAAATTTTCCCATTTCACATCTTATTTTTCTTTGTCCACCACTTTAAAGAGATAATTGTAAGGTGTGCATAATAACTATTATCTTCTCTTATAATGTTTATGAATATATATATATAGGGAAAAGATCCGTTTAAATTTTTTTTTTATAAATTTATGCAAATTACACTATGTATTCTCCGGAGAACATAGTATAACTTAGTATTCTTCCGGAAGAACATAGTGTAGTTTATAAATAAAAAATTTATAAATATAACTCTTTCTATATATATATATATATATATATATATATATATATATATATATATATATAAATTTTATGCTTAACAAGATTTTTTTAGTAAAACAAATTGATTTTATCAAATATTATTTTAAATTATTTTCACTGTTCAGACTAAAAAAACTATTTTTTTATGAACCATTCATGATTGGCACTAAAAAAACTATTTTTTTATGAACTTATCATGATTGCCCTACAATGATTTAAACATGTTTTTTTTTTTAATTTTTTTATTTTTTTAAAAAAGTAATATATAATCCCATCATAAACCTTGGACAAAATTATATTTTACCCGACCTTATATGATTGTGTCTTCCTTTTAACTCCAACTTTTATCTCAAAAAAGAGTAATAGAAGATTTTACTTTACCCTAAGGCTTTGTTTGGGAGTTTGGAGGGGAAGGGAAGGAAGGGGATCCAAGGGAGAGGGAGGGGAAGGAAGGGAAGGAAATTAAAGGGTATTCTCTTTCCTTGTCTGGGAGTTAAAAAATGATAAGAAAGGAAAATAGAGGGTTAATGAGATATTTTTTCCATTTTACCCTATTTTTTAAATAAATTTAATTATTATATTTTACAAATTAAATTAAATTTTAAATTTCTAACAAAATTATTTATGTACTAATACTAAAAAAGATCATATTTTCGACGAAATTTCTACGTTGTAAACGATGAAAATTTCGTCACAAAATTATTTTTTCGTTAGAATACTTTGCATCGAAAAACGACAAAATTTTTTCTCCGATAAAAATTTTCACAAAAAAAAATTTTCTATCGAAATTTTCGACGAAATTTAGTTTTTTTGTCAAAAGTTTTGACGAAAATGATTTCCTCCATTAAATGTTTTAAACGAAAAAATAATTCCGTCAAAAATTTTGACAGAATGTTTTCCATTCTAAATTTCGATGGAAATGTGTTCTCACAAAAATTTCGACGGAAATTGTTTAGTCAAAAATTTTAAGGAAAATGTTACATTCGAAACTTTCGACAAAATTTAGATTCTATAAAGAATTTTGACGGAATGTTTTTTCCGTCAAATTTTTTTTTTTTTGAAATATTTTCGTCAATTTTTTTTGACAAAAATGTGTTTTGTTGAAATTTTTGATGGAAATGTGTTTTACCAAAAAACTTGACGGAGATTTTTTCCTTCAAAAATATCGATAGAAATTTTTTTTTGTCAAAAAGTTAAACAAATATATTTTTGTCAAAAACTTTCCACAAAATTTAAATTTTGTAAAGAATTTTGATGAAATTTTTTTCTATCAAAAATTTTCGATGGAAATGTGTTTCGTTGAAAATTTTGTTGGAAATATTTTGACGGAAATGTTTTGACGAAATTAGATTCCAAAAAGAATTTTGAAAAAAAAAAATTTCCGTCAAATTTTTTTACAGAAATATTTTAGTCACAAATTTTGATGGAAATATTTTACGTAAAGAATTTTGACGTATTGTTTTACGTCGAAACTTTTCGATGGACATGTGTTTCGTCAAAATTTTGGACGAAAATATTTTTGTTACAAGTTTCGACGGAATTTAGATTCTATCAACAATTTTGACTGACTTTTTTTTCTATAAAAAAATTATGTGAGTGATTATGGCAAAATCTGATTTCGTCTCTAATTTCGTCTTTAGTTTTGTTGGAAATTTTTTGACGTATATGATTTTCATCAAAAATTTCATCATTATTTTTGACGAAATATTTTTCGTCGATAAATTCTGTCCGTATTTGAGACTTTTCTAATAATATCGCATTTAAAAATGATTCACAATTATGTAATTTTCACATTTTAATGCTAAGGGTAGATAAGTAATTTTTAATATTTTTCCCCTCAAACCCTCCAAATTGGGGGAACTTTGATTTTAAGAAGAATGAGGATTTTTGAGGGTTTAGTAAAAATCCCTAAATTCTTTCCTTCTTTTTTTTTAAACTCACAAACAAGGGAAGAGCTTACTAAAACCCTCATTTTCCTTTCCTACCCCTCCTAAAATCATCTCCCAAACAAAGCCTTAGTAGTAGAGTCTGATGTGTCTCTGGTTCTCTGTTCACGTGGCTTGATTTTAGTAGGGTTGGCAAAAATGAGCCAACCCGTCATAAATGAGTCAGGTTGGGTTGACCTAAACGAGCTGCCAACCCGACCCGATCCAACCCGGACCAAAACGAGCCAGCCCGCGAGTCAAACGGGTCAGCTCGCGGGTTGGGTGTTTTTTTTTAATTAAAAAAATAATATCAAAACTACAAAACTGCCCCCTTTATTATTTCATCTCAGTCGCCGATGAAGTGCGTTCTTCGATTGTTCTGTCTAATGCAACTCCGTATAAAACTTTCATGGTAAATTTTCAAACTAGCTGCAAATACTAACTTCTTTGGCACATATATTTGGTGCTAATTTATAATATATGCTAATATGAACCAGGAATTAGTGCCCAACAATGTCCTCCCTGATGATTTTGTTCGTAGAATTAAGCACTCTGACTACAGTTCTGTGAGTTAATATACTACTTTTTTCTTAGTTTGCGTTTCTTCTTTAATACCCTCAATCTCTGCTATGTGTAACTAAACTAGAATAATAGGTAAGATTATAACATTTATAGACAGCATGCTTATATTTTATTGTCTGCTAATGAGGAATGCCTAGAATTCATCAATGGGAAAATAACATGGTCAGGAGGAAACTTCAATTTTTTTGAGTCAATCCGCAAGCCAACCCTCGAGCCAACCCATTGGCAATATTTCGAGCTAACCAAATCGCGAGCCAACTTGTTGGCATTATTTCGAGCTAACCCGCGAGCTTTTTCCCGAGCCAACCCACGAGCAGATTATCGAGCCAACCCTAACCCGGCTCAAGTCGGGTTGGGTTGAATTTTCTGGCTCATTTCTCTTTTCGGGTCAACCCTAACCCAATCCGTTTTTTTCGGGTTGAATGCGGGTTGGGCCAGGTCGAGTCAGGTTGGCCCGTTTTGCCAACCCTAGGAACCTGTTTGGGTCCTCTTATTTTTAAGTTAGAAGCTACTCATAAGCTAAAGCTAAAAAAAGAAGCTAAAAGCTGTTTGGAAATTACATAAAAATTTTAGCTTAAAAATTACTTAAAAGCACATATTTCAATAAAATTATTTCTCTCTATATCTTTATCACTCTTCATTTTAAAAAAAAGCACACAATCCAAGAAAAACAGATAAGAGCTTAAAAAAAAGCTCCTCCTAGGAGCTTTTAGTTTTCAGTTTTTTTCTTCATTATAAAAAAAAGAGTTTTTCGTTATAAGAGCTTTTCTCAAAATCAGTTTGACCTAACTTATGCTTATAAGTAGCTTCTAACTTAAAAAAACGAGGATCCAAAGAGACACTAAATTTTAGTTCCGAGTAATTGGAAGAGACAGGTAGCACATTTCCATTGAAGAAAACATTTTCGGTGGAAGTACCCGGGGAATCTTTTATTAAATATGAATAACATATTTAATTATGCTACTCCTATTTTTATATTTATTTATTTTTATATTTCATCTTCTTCTTTTTTTCTTTTTGATAAGGGACTCCTTTGTACAGAAAACGTGCTCCTATATCCATTGTTTTGTTTTGGAATCAATTCGGGACAAGCAAATATCTCTTGTTGATTTTTGATGTGTTGGTTTGGAAGGAAAGCTCCTACAATTTTGGTCAGTTGCTTCGTTGATTTTCGTTTTTCCTGCAAGTTAGCGAAGAACATGGTTAAAATATATTTTTATTTTTTTTATTTCTAATATTTATTTTTTATTTAATTTATTTACGACGTGTTTCAAGAGATAAAATTGAACTTTTTGATATAAAAACCAAATTGAAAATGGATGTTACTTAAACAAACTAAAAATAATTTTTTATCCAGAATTTTTTTTCATTAGGTGTCACATTAATTTTCTTTTTCCATATCTCTAATTTGTTTGCCTTATCTGAACCAAAAATTAAATCTTTCCTCCTTTTCTCTTAATTAATTAATTTTTTTTAAAAATTTCCCCCCTCAAACCAAATAAAGTGTTTCTGAAAAGTAAAACTCTACCGATACAAAATATAAATGATAATTTTCTTCGAGTCCAGCCAACGTTTTCTTTGAAATTTTCCTTTAAAAAAATTCGCTTAGACTTAGTTCAGAGTTCAATAATTGAAAACATTATATAAAGCTCATATTATAATTAATTTTGATTTTAATTTAAAGTATTATAGTTTAATAAATTGTATATTATATCTATGTATGTTTTGCTAAGCGTTACATGTAAAGTATTCATAACAAAATGAATAGCTCCAATAGGAGCGCATGCCTCATCCACTCGACAAAGATTGCAACTAAAATTTTCATGAATGGATTTTGCCCCATTTTTTTTAATATATATATCGGTGTCGAGAATTGAACACATAATCTAATATAAATGATTCAAATTTCTCATTACTAAACCAATTTTAGTGGCTTTTCTTGACTTAATTTTATGAGGATTATGAGTAGTTAGATTATTTTATTAGTTTGCATTTATTTATATATTTATATAATTAAAATTTTAAAATATTATTATTTGTAACTAATATATTCGATTGCATTATATTAAAATTTATATCAATTTACATTAGAATATTAAAAAAATGTTTATCTAAAATATCATTTAAGAAAATCTTAAAAATTTAGTAATTATAATTATCAACCATTATCTTTTTAAAGTTGGGCCCCCACTGTAAACTAACTCCACACAATCTAAATTAAACGAGATTGATTTAAGTAAAATTAATTTTTTTTATTTACTTTTATTAGTTTAACTTATTTATTTTATCGAATTATTGAAGCCAAGCGGGTTTAATAACCCTGTCTCAATGTCATGATAAAAGATTTAATCTTTTTATCTACTAAAAAGAAATAATCTTTTTACTAAAATAATCATTTGGACCACGTTATTAATGAATGAGGTTAATGAATATCGTCATAAAATGTTTAATATTAAAATAATAATAGTACAAACACATTACGGTAAAAGTGTGGGTCATATTTTATATAAGGGATAAGATCAAATTACACATGTGTAAGAATAACAAATTTTACATCAAATCTTAACCGTTGATTATATAACATGACAAAGAACAAATTTTCTATTGACTCATCGATAAATGTGTAGATATTTCTTTTGTTTTTTATTTTTCTTTTGGGCTTTAGATTCATCATGCAACAGGACTACATTTTTTTTCCTACAAAGAAAAGACAAGTTAAATAATAAAAAAAAAAAGTTAAAAAGGCACACTATTCAATGACATTACTTTGTCTTAAGCAGTTGCATGACACTAATTTTGAACATACAACATGATTCATATTTATCCCTTTTCTTTTATGGTAGGATTAAAAAGTTTACAATCTTACATGACATATATATTCCCCTTATTTTATAGATAAAAAAAATTGTGACCCACACAATTTTTTTTCCAATAAAATCCATACATTTTTACGTATAAGAAATAACACATACTTTTCCCAACTTATTTTTTAATTGTGATTTTAATTTTAAGAGTAAAGTTCCTAACAAAAAAAAATGATTTTCACTTTTGTATTTTGCAAAAAAAAAACACCCATATTATTCATTTTTTAGGAACTAAATTGGATCTTAATTGAATGTACGAGAAACCATATTTTCAAACAATTGAAATTATAGAAGATCAATTTTTTTTTTTATAAAACATAAAAGTGAGTGCCGTATTTTTTTATTAAGTAAATTACCCTTTTTGGTCCTCAGCAAATTTCATGATACCTGTTTTAGTCCCTAGCAAATAAAAAGGCTCGTCGTGGTCCCTAAAAAATTCAAAATGGATCCATTTAGTTGAAATCGTGGTCCTCACGAATTCAAAAAAGACACATATTAGTCTCTAAAATGATTAAAATGGGTTCATTTTAAATTTTTTAGGACCATGATGAACCTTTTTATTTGTCAGGAACTAAAACGAGCATAATAAAATTTGGCAAGGACAAAAAGGGTATTTACACTTTTTTTTTTATTTGTCACATACCCAAAATGGGGTTTCCTCAAATTTTTAATTCATTATTTTGACTCCACCACGTATCCTGACGTGAGAGATGTTATGTGCAATGCGAAGAAGTGTCATTCTATTGGAAATTCTATTGTCATTTTCTCTTTGGGAGAAAAAGAAAAAGAAAAATGCGCAACTGAATTGTGAGACCGCAGGGGTAGTTTTCTCAATCTATTTCAATCTCAATTCTTTAAATGATAAACCAGAAAGCAGAGTTTTTTGTATGGTATCACTTTACCAAAAACTCTAAAACCTGCAATAGACATTGTCTGGTTTTAACTTCAACTTGCTAAAAAAGGACGCCGCGGCGTGACTCCAACGCTAGCTGTTATTCTCTCACTCCGTCTGTCGCTATGCCTCGTGAACAAAACCGACAACCTCTGTTAGTGGAAGAGACAGAAGAAACTGCTTATGATTCCTCGGAGAAGGTTGTGGTGGTTGGAAACGACGAGTCCGAGGGTGACGTGGAGAACTGGGGTCGGGTGCCGCCGTTCTCATGGAAGAAGCTGTGGCTATTCACTGGCCCTGGATTTCTTATGAGCATCGCTTTTCTGGATCCTGGGAACCTGGAGGGAGATCTTCAGGCTGGTGCAATTGCTGGGTACTCGTTGTTATGGCTGCTAATGTGGGCTACGGCTATGGGGCTTGTTATTCAGCTTTTGTCAGCACGGCTTGGAGTGGCGACTGGTAGGCACTTGGCTGAACTTTGCAGAGAGGAGTACCCCACATGGGCCAGGATTACGCTGTGGTTGATGACCGAGTTGGCTCTTATTGGCTCTGACATACAAGAGGTTATTGGGAGCGCTATTGCTATCAGGATTCTTAGTAATGGGGTTGTTCCCCTCTGGGCTGGGGTCGTTATCACAGCTTTAGATTGGTAATTTCCTTTCCTTTTCTTTCTTCTTCTTCTTCTTCCACTTCTTCTTCTTCTTGTGATAAATGAGTATGACAAATTCGTATTCTTTCGAGATTGAAGTTCTTTGATGGTGTCCGTGTTACTTTAATTGTCGAATTGCACTGGTGATTTATTTCTGAAGTATGTCCGAGGAACCGTATTCCGTAGTCCGTATAAGTTTTAAATTTTAATGTGGATGGTCTTAAAGAATTTTACAATTTCCAATTTTTAAGTTCCTTTCAAGTTCCTTTATTGATTAAGGTCTCAAAATATGTAGTTAAATTGTATATCATGGTTTTGGAATTTGATGTTCTTGATATTTATCCTGGGACTGGGATTGGGTTATATAGCGCTTTTAAGAGGATACAGCATCACCTAAACTAGTAGATCATCCATGATGAAATCCATTTTTTTCCCTCTCCTGTTTCAGCATTTAATAAGTTACTGGAACCAGCATTTTTTTCTTGTTCAACTGTGTTTAGGATTCCTAATTAAGCATTTAACTTCTATTTAATTTCCTTGTTACAGTTTTATTTTTCTCTTTCTTGAGAACTATGGTGTGAGGAAATTGGAAGCATTTTTTGCTGTTCTGATTGGTATAATGGCTATCTCATTTGCGTGGATGTTTGGTGAAGCAAAGCCCAATGGTGTTGATGTTCTTCTTGGTAAGGAGTTTATTTCAATGGTTTGGACGTGTGCAAATCTTATTTTATTATAAATAAATTTTTAGGTGTGCTCTTGCTTTATATCTGATACATGCTCCGATTTTTTCGTTGTAGGTATTTTGGTTCCTAAACTTAGCTCCAGAACTATACAGCAAGCTGTTGGAGTTGTGGGTTGCATTATTATGCCTCACAATGTATTCTTGCATTCTGCGCTTGTTCAATCTAGGCACATTGACCCCAGCAAGAAAGGCCGTGTTCAAGAAGCTCTTAATTACTACTCTATAGAGTCCACAATCGCCCTTGTAGTCTCCTTTGTCATTAATATATTTGTCACAACTGTGTTTGCTAAGGGCTTTTATGGTACTGAAAAAGCAAATAGCATTGGTCTTGTAAATGCAGGGCAGTACCTTCAGGAGAAGTATGGGGGTGGACTATTCCCAATCCTATATATATGGGGAATTGGGTTATTAGCAGCTGGCCAAAGTAGCACTATTACTGGTACATATGCTGGACAATTTATCATGGGAGGTTTTCTGAATTTAAAGTTGAAAAAATGGATGAGGGCGTTAATTACCCGAAGTTGTGCAATCATCCCAACCATAATAGTTGCTCTCATATTTGATACCTCCGAGGACTCATTAGATGTTTTGAATCAATGGCTTAATGTTCTTCAGTCAGTTCAAATCCCCTTTGCACTCATTCCCTTGCTTTGTTTGGCCTCCAAGGAACAGATAATGGGCAGTTTCAAAATTGGCCCTGTCCTCAAGGTATGTTATCCCCCTGTCTGCATTTTGGTCACACTGGTCACTTACCAGTTACCCATCTTCAGTTTATATATTTGATTTAAGACTTTGAAATGCCAAATCAATTCATTTGATGTGAAATTGCCATCTGTATATTCCTTGTGGTCATGAATTAAATCAAACCTAGGAAGGAGATAATTCAGAACTGACCTAAGTTATGACCTAATTTCTCTTGCAACTCTGAGTTGCATTTTAAAAAGACAATTTGGTGGCATGATTTTACTGTCCTGTCTTGAGAATTGAAAGGAGGTAAAATAGTCTAGTGTCCATTGAACTAGTTTCACTACTTTTTTACGTATGACCTTTTTTTTATTTTTTGGTGAGGTACGTATGACCTTTATCTTCTAAATAACTATTCCCTCGTTATTGTCAATAGTTAGTATAAGGCCATAGATTCTTTTATCAATTTCGGTGCATATTATTATTCATCATGAGATTATATTTTCAGCATCATATATTATTCAGTTTATTGGGTTTTGCTGCAGTTGGAAACTGCATGTGATTCAGCGTTGACATGAAACATCCAAAAAACATCTTGTATTTATATACGTGATAAATAATGCCTATGAGTAAGATTTTGATAATATTTCTACTTATGGCGAACAAGATTGACTTCTACTTTCCTCATTGCGCCCCCCCCCCCCCCCCCCCCCCCAAAAAAAAAAAAAAAAAACTGTCTTTCCTTTTTTTTTCCTTTGTGGAGTTTTGGTGCTTGTTGCTTTCTCCATTGAACATGCTCAGGCACTATTGTTAATTTTATGCTTTGACTTTTTGTAAGTGTTCTTAACCTCAACTTCTTGGATCCAGATTATTTCCTGGCTTGTGGCTGTTCTGGTGATAGTGATAAATGGCTATCTTTTACTGGAATTCTTCTCCTCTGAAGTGAATGGAGCAGTGTTCGCCAGTATAGTGTGTGCAATAACAGCTGCATATGTTGCATTTGTACTATACCTTATTTCACGGGCCATTACCTTTTCACCTTGGTCTCGACCAAAGACAGTTGCTAGCACAGAGAATTAAGCATTCAATCCTTATTCCATTTTGACGATGGAGTAGGAAGTGCTATGCCGCTGAAGACTTCCACGAATACTTTTGCCCCATTCTTTTAAGGCAAACTCATGCTTGTTATTTGTATAACAACTTACAATTTGATGCAGGAGGCAATGGTATCTTATTGGTTGTCTGTACTCTGTACTTTAATGAAACCGGTCACAGTATATGTTTCTGTATTACTGTCAAAATGTGATATATAAAGGAACTGCTAGCAGGCCTTGGAAATTCTGACATAATGTAGTTGAGGCACCTTTTAAAATTGTGATGTTCAAAGAAATATCTCTTTATTTTTATCTATTCACTTGCTCAATTTTTTCTATTTAGGATTTTTTGGGCTGTGGGTTGAATATGCTACTCCCGCCCAAATGTTGGCATAAAATATTGTGGGAGAGTACTGGGAATGTGAAGACTGTTATTTGGAACAGGTCATTCAAGTGGACAATTTATTATAAACAGAAGATTTTCATCATTTATCTTGATGTTACTTTACGGTTAACAAAAGCACAGCCTAACCTATGTAGTGCAAACTTAGTTGTGGAACATGTTTTTCTATGATTGCACTCATGGGTTTTGGATGGAACAAGACTGGATGAGGGGATGATTGATGATTGATTCCATTAAAATTATCTTTTGCGATTATTTTTGACACCAATATTGGATTATCTGTTAGGATAGCATATGCTGGAATTCCAGATAGCTTTCCTCGTGCTGGTCCATTACATAACAAGTTCCTGGCCAAGCTATTAGCACTCGGTCATCCAATGCCTTTTATTTTAATTTTATTTTCAGTACAGCTATCATTTGTCAGCATTGTGATTAGTTGATTACTACATATTTTTAAGTCTGCTTTTCCCTCAAAATATCAGTATTCTCTTGTTTATCATCTTTCTTAGCAATATGCTTTCCCCACCGGAACATTGATATTCTTTTCTATGTACTTGGTCATCGTATCCTTTTCTAGCATAACGGTACCGTTCATTCGTAAGTCTCCTCCAATTAGGGATGAAACTGGGTCGGGCCAGCCTACAGGGGCCTACGGCTCGACCTACATTAGGCTAGACTTGACCTAGTATATTTTGTATAATAGGCCGGGCTCGGGCCGTAAAAAAACCTGTTTAATAAAAAAGCCATAGGTCCACTTTCAAAAGGCCGGGCCTATAAGCCTACAGGCCGGCCTATGTTGTATTATTTATTTTAAATAAAATAAAATAAAATAGAGTAAGTATGCCTTGAAGAAAAAAAAAGATATAAATTTAATCAATTGCAATTATTTATAACTTAATCATATTCGATTATATTTTAATAGAAATCTTAATTTATTTCTTATATAGGAGGAATCAACATCTCAACATGTTAGATTGTGTATATGAATATATTAAAAGATTTTTGGCAGAGGTTATACTTACTACAAGCATCATGATGTGTTTGTTGGATTCATGTAGTTATTTTAATTTACATAGTATGAATTTGTTTGTTGGGTCTGATGAAATATATGTTATTTAATTTGAGCATTTTGCTTTTAAAAATGACTTAAATGCATATTGTATTAGTTTTGTTATGATTCATGATTCTGTTTGGACGTTGAAATTATGATTTTTGGTGTAGCAACAGAATTTGAGTACTTTGTAAAGTTGATTCACGATTCTGCTTGGAAGTTAAAAATTAACAGGTTAACGGGCCAAGCCAGGCCATTTGTTTTTTTTTTCATAAACGGGCCAAACCAGGCTAACAGTTAGACTCATACTAGGCTTGGGCCGGGCCAAATTGAAATTTTTTGACGTAGGCTTGGGCTTTTCGGGGCAAAGCTCGGCTCAGCCGAGCCCACTTTCACCCCTACCTCCAATCCAAACCCTTTTTGTACCCTTTCGAGGCAAATTTTGTCATCATCCTTTGTTGTTCAACAAGGTAGCTATGGTTGTTCGCGTGCTGTTTTTCTGGATTTTTTTTCCAGGTCAGCTGCTCGAAGAGTTTTGACATGTGTATGTATATATTTTACATAGAATCACATGCGCGCACTAACCCACAAATGATTATTTGAAAATGATAAATTAATTATCAATATTAGTTCTTTAAAAAAAAAAAAAACTAAGGTCTGTTAGGGGTTTCCAACCTATCTCTCGCCTTTGGTAGGATGTAGGTAAGGGAACAGTAACTAAAATAACATTGTTTCTCATCTTATTTTTCTAAATGTCACGTCAACAGTGTTATTTTCCAATCTGCCACGAGAGCAAGTTCGCTGGGCAGTGTAGCAAACTCGATGTGCTGATGTATCACATTTCTGGTGGACACGAAGATCGCTGGTGTCAGTAGCGAACTCTGGAACAATTAATGCTGACACGTGAGCAAGTTCGCTACCACATGTAGCGAACTAAGTGTGACGGACATGCACATAGTTCGCTGAGGGGCACCGCGAACTATGTGCCTTCCAGAATTTTTACATCATGACAATTTGCTTGTTCCTTTTTGTTGCACAGATTTTGAGGAAAAACAATTATATTTCTCATTGAATCTTGCTATTCTTTGAGATGTGTGCAACTTTCGTTTGTGTACTGTCTTCTGCTTAATCACGTGAAACATATTTTGAAATCTGATCATTACTATTTTTTGGTTTATTTTTGTTTTTATTTGTTAATACAAGGAAAATATATGTAGCCTTTGTTTTGGTCAATCCATAACAAGTTTTGGTAAAATCTGTACACAAACGAAAGTTGCACACATCTCAAAGAATAACATGATTCAATGAGAAATATAATTGTTTTCCCTCGAAATCTGTGCAACAAAAAGGAACAAGCAAATTGTCTGGAAGGCACATAGTTTGCCATGTCCCTCAGTGAACTATGTGCCACCTGTCACACATAGTTCGCTGCCTGTGGGAGCGAACTTATCCACCGTGTCAGCATTAATTGCTCCAGAGTTCGCTACTGACCCCAGCGACCTTGGTGTCCATCAGAAACGTGACACATCAGCACACCGAGTTCGCTACATGTAACACCTCGTATATATCCGGGATGTTATCATATCATCGTATTAAGCTGCGCTTAATTAAAATTGCGGAATATCTTTTTCTTTTCACTTATGATGTCATTAATCATTACCAACTTGCTTATTAACCAATTAATAAAATATTTTCTGTATGTAAATTGCAAAAGACAGCTAACTGAAATACCTCATTAATTAAACAGCGTAAATATGTCTCTAGTCACGAAACTACACACGTAGACCGGACAAACTAACAGTTTATACAACTCCAACTAAAGTACTAACATTAAGTGGCATGGACAAACCCCATGCTCACACAAATAAGGCAACAAGCCCAACATAGTCTCATCATCAACAACATAGTAATAAATGACAGAAAACATAAACAGCATCTTATCCAGCATCCAAACATGTCAGCAGATAAACAGTAATATCATAATCAACTAAGCTCCGGCCTCCTGCCGCTAGAGGCATCAGCCCCCAAACTACCTGAACCTGAAAATGGTGCCCCAAACGTGGGGTGAGATCTCTGAAAAAAAATCTCAGTAAGACAAGGGGTCCTCAAGGATCTTCCACCCCAAGCTCACTTACATGTGCAATATAAGTTCAAAAACAGTTTAACAATATAATTTCCAAAACAATGCAATGCAGCAGATAATCATGTCATGTGTGTCAATACTATTCTACTGGCCAGAGAAATGTAGGATTTATATACGTCTAATACCCACAAATAGTGTAAGACGCTACTTGCATCCACCCCGGATCACCGTCTTGTATGACGCTACATACTCAGGCTTACCGTCAAGATGGAACAACACATGCATATTAAAAGCCATTACACATAAAGCTCAACAGCATTTTCAAATATCCAAAGCATGTAACACAACATGCATATAACCAGATCCACATGGGACATGGTGGAACCACAACATGGCTAAACTGAGAACACAAAAGCTTACCTTACAAGCTAACTATCCAATGCCAAGAGTCCACACAAGCTCAAGGCCCACAAACAGCACAATCACAATCTGCCCATACCATAATTAATCATCAATAATCATAGTTCAGATTCCACTAAGTGATTAAGGCATTCTTACTCATTTTAACTCATTTCATGCTGTTTCTGCAGGAGGTATTCGAATACTCCACGAGTAGTATTCGAATACTTAAATGAAAGTAATCTGAATACTCCACCAAGTATCCGAATATTTTTCCCCCCAGTATCTGAATACCACAGTATCCGAATACCAAACCTCACTGTATCCGAATACTTTCCAGTATTCGAATACTTCTTCAAAGGTATCCGAATACTTTTCTTCCCAGAAAAGTATTCCAATACTCCTGCCAGGAGTATTCGACTACCAGATTAAAAATACCGTTGCAAATATTTTCCAAATACTCTAAGATTTTTCTATGTTAAACTAGACATCGCAAGCTTTCCAACGACATATCTTATGCCTCAATCGGAGTTGTATAACTCCGGTTATGAATTTTGCAAAGTTCTTACAACAAGCTGAATTTCCAGTAATAGGATCTCGACTTCAAACATACACTGAGAGAAATCCACTAATCCAATGGATCTGAAAATTTACAGGGTTGTATCCCTATGTGTTAGCTTCACATAGGTCCAAATCTCACTCAATTTAAAGCTCTGAAGCTTGAGATATCGCAATTTTACTAAACTAGGTCGTTGTTGTCTCGCGAAGTATTCGATTACCGCCTTTTCCAGGAAGTATTCGAATACTGCCCGAAAAGTATTCGAATACTTCTTTGATAGAATGCAGAAAACTGAGTTTTAAAGGTAAAATCGACCTCCAATGATCCAAACTCGATCTGTAGTCCAAGAACTCCTAAAACAGATGTTTATTAACATGTTATGAACTCAGAAACACATTCCTTTTATCAAATGGTTCTAGTTACGATTTTTAATTGCTTAAACAAGCTTAAAACATCAAAATACACAAGGCTGATCATGGTATACCTTCCAATGCTCAAAACTTCGAAAATGGCACTGACTTGGAGCCTCGAACACAGCTCCAAGGTACTGACTTCCCCAAGATACGAATTTAACACACCAAGGTTGGTTCTTTAAGCCAAAAGGTTACTACTTGGCAACACAAAAGTCATGAACAAAGCCTCACCAAGGTAGTTCACAAACTCAGCCCACAAACCACCACTCACAGCCACTAAACTGACTTCCCACAGCCACCACACTCAGAAAAAGTACTCCTTTCACACTCACAAGTCCAAAGCACACTCATACTAAGAGATTTAGTGAAGAAACTATGGAGAAAGGTGATCAAAATGGTGATTTCTCAAGCAAGGAAGAAGGTGGCAGCAAGGGAGGCTCAAGGTTCAGCAAGGAGGCACATAATGTTAGAGATTTTTGACCTAGAAATCCGTGTCAAGGCCTTATATAGACCACTTAAGTTTTAAACACACAGTATTAACATTAATAGCTACGCTTAACATTTTAATCTCAAACTTGAAATTCTGAACCTACTCATTTTTCTAATATTTGTCATATTTTTATTTTATTTTTCGCAGTACTTTTTCGGTACGCGCTTTTCCATAGCCAGTATCAGTTCTGGCACCAGTTCTCATTATTTTAACTTGAAACTTGTTTTACAAGTCCTATATATTATTCTAGAAATACTCATGCACTTATTATAATTTTTCGGGATACTTCATCGGTACGCATTTATACCAAGTAGCAGAATCAGTATTTGCACTCGTCGTGCGAAAAGCGACTTTCAACATTATTACTCACTTACTATAATTATTAAAGCCTCATAATAATTATTAGGGTCAATTATGGAATTATCTCATAATTATCTAATTAATTTCCTTAATTAGCGGTGCGAGTTCTTACACTACACTTCCAAGCGAACTTGCCCAGTGGCAGATTGGAAAATAACACTGTTGACGTGACATTTAGAGAAATAAGATGGGGAACAGTGACACTTTGGTCACTGTTCCGCAGGTAAGCAGGTTATTAGTTTTTTAAAGGAAAAAAAAACTAACTAGTATCGATAAATAATTTTGTTATTTTCAAATAATTATTTGTGGGTATTACTTTAATACACAAATTAAATACAAGTTAATGCACATGTCTCACTACGCTATGGGCTGGGAGCTACGCTCTAAGGCCAGAATTATGTCAAACAGGTACGCAATTAATCTCTAAGGAGTGTTTGGTACAGGAGAAATTTTTTTTAATCCAGGAAATAATTATTACTGGAATATAGTGAGAAATATATTTTACAGAAATATTACTAAAAAGCTGTTTGGTTAGATCAAATTTCCTCGGGATATTATGAATAAATTTACTAAGTGTGTGTTTGGTTAATTGTGATATATTTGTGAAAATGTTAGGTTATTTTACTAAAATAACCTCAACCGTACGTTATGTTTGAAATATTAAATTTTTAACAACTGGAAGAAAAAGACGAACGCATCTGGTTTGTTGTGAGAAAGAAGACACAGGGCATTCAAAGAAGGTGGTTGGCACCTGTTTTACGATCGGGAAGCTTGGATTTCTGGAGCCTGCATTCAAAGCTTAAGGGAAATATGATTTTATTTGAATGATTTCCTCCGGTCCGATTACAATATACTGTTTACAACAAACAAACAAAAAATATATAAGGCGAAACTTCCATCCTCTTCGAATAAGCTACGACAACTTTACGCCAAGCTTGCTCTTCTCTTTCATAAAGATTGTATGAAAATGAAGGTCAGATCGGTCAATTTTTTTGCACCTAATGTTCCATTTCCCCGGGCAACAAATGGATCCATGTTATCAATTGCATTTTTTGCAACCGGTCAGTATGCTCACTTACACACTCTCACTATTGCCGGGATTAAATTGAACTCTGGAATCTTTACCATTTTTATCAAACAAACATGGGTATCATATTTCTCCAATCTTAGTTTCCCGGGGAAGGCTAAATAATCTGCTTACCAAACGTCACCTAAAAGGCTCAAACCACTGGAAAGTGATGTGTTGGAACTTCACATAGCATTGAAATGAGAATGCTAAACCCTCAACAGTGTATTGGAGCGATTACGGGTGAAAGTGGACCGGGTTGGCCTGGTCCGAGTATAGTACGAGTCTAACTGTTAGCCTGTTAATTTTTAACTTTCAAGCAGAACCATGAATCAGCTTAACAAAATACTCAAATTCTGTTGCTAAAAGAAAAATCACAATTTCAACGTCCAAACAGAACCATAAATCACAACAAAACTCATCACAATCTGCAATTAAGTCACTTTCAAAAGCAAAATACTTAAACTAAATACAATATATTTTATCAGATCTAACAAACAAATTTATACTATATAAATTAAAATAACTACATACTCCAACAAACATATCATGATACTTGTAATAGCCAAAAATTTCTCTTCATCTTCTCTCCCCTACAAATACAATTCCAAGATTACATAAGTTGACAAATAATTTGTAAATGTAGAAAACAAAAAAAGAATAAAGAATAGAAAAGAAAATAAGATTAAGAAACAAAAAATATTTTAATAGATTCATATAAGCAATCTCACATGCTGATGTTGGTTCCTCCTACACAAAAAATAAAGTCAAATTTCTATTAAAATTTAATCGAATATAATTAAATTATAAAATAATTTCAATTGGTTATATTTATACCTTTTGTTTTTTCTTTAAGTCATACCTATTACGTAGCCAATCTCCGCTGTATATTAAAGCTTGGATGGTATCTTCAGCCAAGTTAGAACGATAGGCATCAATAACTCTTCCTCTAGCACTAAATGTTGACTCTGATGGTACTATAGAGATTGGTACAGATCTTCTGTCATTCTCAAAGACAGTATTAGTAAGGGAACAAACCTAAGTCCTTTCACCCCTTATTTAATTCATATGCACCAACTGAATTATTATAATTTGGTATTACTATGAAGAATATTATTTTATTTTATTTAAAATAAATGATATTATATAAGCTGGTCTGTAAGCTTACAGACTCGGTATATAAAAAAAAGCATGTCACCTACTTTCTAAATAGGCTTCTTTAAAAGCTCGTGCCTGTTCAATTTTACTATGTATAATAGGCCAAGCTCGACATAATATAGTCCATAGACCCCTCTAGGTCGGTCCGACCCACTTTCTCTCTTGTTGGCGACGAAAGCTTTGATTGGTTAATTATTAGTAAAATATACCATTCACCTCAGCTAAAATCAAAAAATCTAACTGTAGTTTTTTATTTTTAAATAAACACTACAAAATGCTTTTGTGTGGGGCGGATAATCTCTTAAGATGAGCTCAATATACCAGAATTAGTAATCCCTTTTTTGGTTGAAAAAATTAATAGTCTAGTTAGGGAACAAATATGTAAGTAAATATATTTTTAAATAAATAAAAAATGTAAACGGAAATGGATAATTTCCTTCGTGTAATTGAGAGTTGACATAGAGTTTGTGTTTCTCCATCGGGTCTTCATTTCCTGTCTCGTTTCGATCTGCGCCATCGCTCGGGGCTTAAACTCGAATCGGATCATTGGACCGTTGGAGTCATGGCGCGGCCATTGACTCGGCTCATCTCTGTCGTATCCGTAATTCTATACCTTGCGCGGTTGGGTCCTTGGGTGGCTATCTGTGGTGAACCCAGCAACGTGTTACTCTTGCGAAGTGATCACGAGGGCTCACGTCCTGCTATGATTCTCCCGCTACATCTCTCTGCTCCCGTTTCTTCCAAGTTCGCCTTCAATTCACGACGTCAACTCCAGAGATCCGAGCCCAAACGCCATCCTAACGCTCGCATGCGACTCTACGACGATCTACTTCTAAACGGGTTAGCCTCTTTCATCCACTGTACTTCCTCTATGTCCCCCCCCTTTTTATTAATAATGAATTCGGTGATTTTTGTATATATCTATATATATTGGGAAATTCGATGGAATAGGTACTATACCACGCGGCTTTGGATTGGTACTCCTCCGCAGAGGTTTGCTCTTATTGTTGATACTGGGAGTACTGTTACGTATGTCCCGTGCTCTACTTGCCAACACTGCGGCAAGCACCAGGTACTGCTTCAAGCCACTTTTTTTTTCTTTCTTTTTTTCTTTTTTCTTCTTTAAACTTACACGTCAGGATCAATAAGTTAATGTTTATATCAATTGATTGTTAAATTTGTGCAAAAGAGCTGCTATTGGGTCGTGGATATGACTCATGAGTCATGGTCATGAAAAATGCACATATAAGGTGTTATATGATTTTCTGGTTTGTAGCTGAGGTTTCTGTTTGTACAGTTGTACTTACTCTGCACTCCCAGGCTGTGTTTTTGTATATAAGAGAAAATGGAAAAGGTGGAACATGGAGTTCAGTCACAATATGAGTCTACATACTACCTTCATTTTTATTCCTCCTTTTACCACTTTTCATTTTCAATTCTACCAAGCACACCTTTAATGTGTTGAAATAGACTGCTTATGCCTCTCATGTTTATTTTGTTTCTGAATATCATTAATTTAATCTTGAAATTGATGTGAAAAGAATGGTTTTTTTTAGAATTTGTGCTCATGCATGGGTAACTCATTCGATTTATCCGAAGTAGGTTGAATTTGTTTGCTCAATTTAATTTAAACAGGACCCAAAGTTCCAGCCAGACATGTCGGAAACCTATCAACCTGTCAAATGCACAGCGGATTGCAACTGTGACAATGACAGGATGCAGTGCATGTATAAGAGACAGTATGCTGAAATGAGTTCTAGCAGTGGGGTTCTCGGTGAGGATGTTGTATCCTTTGGAAACCAGAGTGAGCTTGCCCCCCAACGTGCTGTTTTTGGCTGTGAAAATGTTGAGACTGGTGATCTTTATAGTCAGCATGCTGATGGGATCATGGGTTTGGGCCGTGGAGATCTCAGTATGATGGATCATCTGGTTGATAAAAAGGTAATAAGTGATTCATTCTCACTATGCTATGGTGGAATGGATGTTGGTGGAGGTGCAATGGTTCTTGGTGGTTTAACTCCCCCAGCAGACATGGTCTTTACACATTCAGATCCTGTTCGAAGGTGTGTGTCAAATTCTTTATCCTACAGGTTTTGAGATGTCATGCATTTTCTTAACAAATGCATTGATTAATTTCACACATTTACTCTAGTTTCGGGATGGCGACAGTCCATATTACAACATTAATTTGAAGGAGATACATGTTGCGGGGAAGCGATTGCATTTAAACCCAAATGTTTTTGATGGCAAACATGGAACTGTCTTGGATAGTGGCACAACTTATGCATACCTACCAGAAGCTGCATTTCTCGCATTTAAACATGCTGTAAGTTCTTTCATAAATATTATTGTAGAAAGTCACTTGAGTTGCATTATTTAATCTCACCTATTTTCTAAACAAGAGTTTTTTTTTTCAATTCGAGTCTTGTATTATCAGGTGTAGAGCTAGAATAAAATTGTTGAAGGGGCCTATATATAATCATACAAGGGTCATTAAGATTTTTATTTTTTTGAGGAGGCCATAAAGTAATTTTTTATTTTTTTTAAAGAAATTTTTTTCCAGTTTAAAAGGGGGGAGGGGGACCTTGACTCCTCCATTGCACAAAGAGGAGCCGCTCCTGCTTGTCATTTCTGGTGAATCATGCTCATTATTCAAATATTGATGCTGAGATATTCTTGCTTTAATGATCACGATCCTGGATCCTGGCCTTGCTAAGTGATAAATGGAGTTGGATGATTTAAGCTATGTAGCACCAATACCGACACGGGATACGTAACACAACACGACACTCCGACATGTTAATTCTAAAAAATGTTAGATTTCGACATGTTAGGACACGTTTTGATATTAAAAAATATTTTTAATTTATATAGTGTATATTATATTTAATATTCAATAATTTAACAAAAAATGAAACTAAACTTATAATATTCATCAATTTTGCAAAGAAACATAAGATATCCTAAATATTTATATTAAACTCAATAAAATGGTAATCGTAATCCAATAAATCTAATAGTTGGAACTAAAAACACAACGCAACGCAACCTTTGAACCGTTTTTTGAATTTTTATAACGCGTATTGGAGTGTCGGGGAGCGTTGGACACGACACGTCAGGGTTTTTGTAGTGTCGGTGCTTCATAGGATTTAAGCACCTAAAATATTTACCAGATGACTTTTTTTTTTTCATGGTTTATGAATTTATTGGAGATTTATCTCATGCAGTTTTGCAAAGATACTTTGATGGTTTGCTAAGTTGTTTTTACCCTTTCAGTACAGTTAAAAAAATCTTTGGGTGGTTTTTTGTTCAGAGCATCTAGTTATGGGATGCTAAACTTTATACTGTTTAACCTTTCTGAGCATATATTTCTCTTCATAGCGTAGTTAAATGTTCCCTGAATCATCATAGATTTTCTTTATGCAAATAGGCAGAATGTGTATGCCATACTGGTAATTGGGTATTCTATGATATCTAAATACTTGAGGTTTTCAGATGCTCCATTTTGCGTGTCTTTTCTGTTCTTTACTTATTTTTGGAAAGTCACGTTGGGAGTGATTGTTAACCATTAATTTCGCAACAGCACTTAAGCAATAATGCTTTAAGATTACCACTTATGCTGTATTATTTCAGTCTTCATTTTTGTGGGATGTCCTGCCTAATTAGCTCATAGAATTACAAAATTAAATTGATTAGTCAAATGTATATGTCATGTATCATGGAGAATCATTTTTGTTCACGTATTATCATAGATAGTTTCGTTTATCAATCATTGTATGTCATAATTAAGCATCCTGTTTACAATGTAAACTTTATCTTAAATGTCTGGTAACTCTGATTATGTATCTATCTGTTTGCAGATTATGAAGGAACTTCACTCTTTGAAGCAAATCAGTGGTCCAGATCCAAATTATAAGGATATATGTTTTTCTGGTGTTGGAATGTATGTTTGTAGCATTATTAAAGAGTGGATATACATTCTCATCACAGGATAATTAACAGTTCGAGTTTACTTGTATTTCAGTGATGTCTCTAAACTCTCTAAAAGCTTTCCAGTGGTTGACATGGTATTTGGAAATGGCCACAAGTTTTCATTGTCACCGGAAAATTACTTGTTCAGGGTTAGTTATGTAAGATGATCAGTAGTATCTTTAGCTGTGTTTGCAGGTTGATTGATTTCCTAATCCTTACTTTTCATTCGGCTATCTTTTGTGAAGCATTCAAAAGTGCGAGGTGCATATTGTCTGGGTGTCTTCCCAAATGGAAAGGATCCAACTACTCTTTTAGGAGGTAACTTATTTGCTGTGGGTAACTTCATGCCATTTCATAGTTTGCCCACATTTGAAATATTGTTCCTCTCTAATTTTTGTTTTAGATGATTAGCTTCTGAGGTATGAGTTTGTGCAATACTTTAGTGATCATTCCTGTATCATTTTTGTTTGTGTAGGCATCATTGTCCGTAACACTCTTGTAATGTATGATCGCGAGCATACAAAAATTGGTTTCTGGAAAACTAATTGTTCTGAGTTATGGGAAACACTACACCTCTCTGATGCCCCACCACCGGTGCCTCCAAATTCAGAAGGAACAAATATAACCAAAGCATTTGAGCCTTCAATTGGTCCATCTGCGTCACAGTATAATTTACATCTAGGTATTGTAAGCTGCTGGTATTCTATTTTTATTTTAAAGTATATATAGAGATATCATGTTTAGACATGGATCAGATGTTGCACGTTGCATAAAATAGTACATGATGTTTTTAGTTTTTATTTTATTTTAAGAAATTAGTGTGATCTCTTCTTAATTTATACGCTCACTGATGACTAATCTGCTTTCATCAACTTAAATGTGCAGGTGAACTCCAAATTGCTCAAATAACAATTGTAATTTCATTTAACATCAGCTACATGGATATGAAGCCTTACATTACAGAATTGGCAGGACTCATAGCTCATGAGTTAGATGTTAATACTTCACAGGTTAGAAAATGGTCACTAAAGCACAGGGACATTTGTTGCATAGTTTCAACGTAAAGTATAATTAATAATTTTGATGCAATAAAAGGGTTTAATTAGCAATATACATAGACAACCTTGGCTAACTCAGTTAGCTTGTGTGGGCTGGGGTTGAGGTAGAGGTCCTAGGCTTTAGACTTTTAGTTGTGTGACAACTTTACGATGTACCCAGAAAACAATTTGCATTTGCAGCTAATTTTTCCCTGTTCATGTGCATTGTTACTTTATAATAATAACATTCTTGGTTGGAATGCTCACAGGTTCACTTAAGGAATTTTTCTTCTCTTGGAAATGGTTCCCTCTCTAGATGGATCATAACCCCGGGACCATATGCTGATTTCTTTTCTAACACTACTGCAATGGTAAGTTGACATTTGTGCGTTTGCATCTGTGTTAAAACTGCCCATTTGATGGTGAATTTCGATGTTGCAGAGTATAGTTGCCCGGCTCTCTGAACATCGCATGCAACTTCCTGAGACATTCGGAAGCTATAAGTTACTTGATTGGAATACTGAACCTCCATCAAGAAGGTAAATTTTTTCCTGAAAGGAAAAGAAGTTGGGAAATTATCTGTCCTATATATATATATATATATATATGGAAAAAAGTATCCAGTATTACTTTAGATAATTTTGTCTAATGTTCATCTAAACGACGTCGTTTTGGGGTGAAAAATTAAAAAATTAGAATTATAAATACTATTATAACCCTGAAATAAATTAAAATTACAAACACCATAATTTTCATCCCAAAACAACATCGTTTCGGTGAACATTAGACAAAGTTATCTAGAGTAACTTCAGAAAAAATGAACCGATATATATATAACAGTAAGTTTTTCTTTTTTACCGGAAGGTCACAGACTCGAGTTGCCCTCTTTGCAAAATATCAGGGTAAGGGTCAATTATAAAGTCGGGGAGCATTGGGATTTACCCTTATATTTTGTATTTTACTATATAGTGGTTTATGACATGTGTCCCTTATTCAGTGGGTAGTTGAGAGTTAAATAATTATTTGGAAATATTAATTTACTGTTATATTTACTTTCAAAACCTTGAAATTTTATTATTTCATTGAGAAAATATTTATAATTTTACTTGTTTGTCTAACAAATATTTTTAATGACAAAAATTCTGCTCCGAAACTTTTTAGATAACTCATTATACTATTTAACCTTATCTGCATAATTGTTGATTCAACTTTTTTTAACCATTCCTTATTATAGTTACCTATTGTTTTGGACCAGCGAGATGGCTTTGCCCGGCTAGTCCATTTGGTTGCCCATCAAGGCCACCATCACTTAGCACATGACTCCTTTGTACGCATGTCCTCTCATGCCTCCCACGCACGCATGACCTTTTACATATTAGGGTTCACGCAGCCTCACACTTAGTGAGATTCATAGGGCTGAAAATGGTTATGACATCACACTTTGCACATTTGGAGGGAATCTTCAACACCTTATACAAAGGGACATTCGTCTCCTCATTTCTTTGTCTTCTCCATTACTTGCTATAGCTATTACTTTGTTGAAATTACTCCACACGCCATAACCATAACCCAAATACACTAGCCCTTTCGCCCTCAATTAGTCTGAGGCTAGTACAATGATTTTTCAGAGTTTTGGTCCACATCACTGCCTCTCTCATCTCTGTCAGATCAATATATTTCACCCTTACAGGAAATAGATCCATACCTTCATTCTCTCTCTGATCACTTCACCTATTGTGGTGATCATTTTGTCATGTGTGTGTGGAGATGTAATGTCTTCAATCTTTTATTTATTGGATATAAGGGCTTTATTTATAACCATTGCGGATATAAACACATTGTTCTAAAATGGTGCAGGACTTGGTGGCAGCAATATTATTTGGTTGTGGCTTTAGCTGTTATGCTTACTTTGCTTCTAGGAGTATCAGCCTTAGGACTATTCTTAATTTGGAAAAACCGACAGCAGGCGGAGCCCTCATACAAGCCAGTTGATGTGGCTATCCCGGAGCAGGAACTTCAGCCATTATGAGCTACATTTGTACTACTGCTGCTTAATGGTTTGCCTGATTAGTGTGGCTAGCATTTTCGAATCCATCAGGACTTAAAGTATACAACCATAGTCACTCAACTGATTAAGATTTTTGTTTCAAAGAAATCAGGCTGTCTATCGTATATAACGAAACCCTGATACACGTATAGAAAGAAAGAAGTCGTTAGAAGTTCTATCATCTGTAAACGCATTTTTGTTTGTGATTATTGCAATATACCGGTGAATCAACGGGTAGCAACATTAGTTTGTACTGCAATTTTTATTTTTATTTTTGGTAGATGTTCGCATTTTTATGTAGCTGTTGCTTTTTATTTGGTTTGTATTCTTATTTTTCTGGTTCTGTTTTTCTCACCGAGGATAGTTATTATATGTGGTCCAAGAAAATGTCCTGTATCAGTCTATTTACTAATAATGATTAGTAATAAAATATCTGTGTTGTGGTTATTGAAGATAATGATAACTTGCAATTTAATAATTTTTCAGTTTCAAACTTATTACGTATGACAACCAATAAACATTTTAATATTTAATAACTCATTATAATAAAAACAGACAACTTTGTGATGCAATTTCATTTGTCTGCTAAGTCTGGCCCATTAAATTAAGAAAGCGAAGATGTGAGGATTTCATTTTTTTTTTTTGAGTTTCTTCGAGCTATCTCATAATCGATAGTTGAACATTAATTTTTTTTTGAGGTGTAGAGATTATCAAAGTGAATTTTGCCTTATATATATATACGAGGTAGGATCTTTTGACATCTCATATGAGAGTCATTAGATAAAAAAAGATCAACGGAAAAAAGATCAATGGTGTCACATGCTTACAAATCAGAGTCGTTGATCTTTTTTGATCTAATGGCTCTCAGGTGAGATGTCAAATTTAAAATTTGACACTGATGTTAAAGGATCCTACATATATATATATATATATATATATATAGCCAGTAATTAAATCTCTATTAGAATGGTTAAGAGCAATGTTATAAAAGTCGGGCCGACCCGAAAATCGGTAAACCGGTCATATAACCGGTTCGATTTTCATATTGAACTATGTTACAGAACTGGTGTGACCCGGTACGACCCGGCTGGTTTTCGTAAAAATCGGTGACCCAGTCAGTTGAACCGGTGACCCGGCTCGGTCTATAAAAAGAAAAAATTAATTTATTTTCATAAATTAATGTCTTCTTTTTTTTATTCTCAAACACAAATGGTTTGTTTTCTTTTGAAATATTTGAGTGATTTGTAGCTTATTAACTTACATAGATTATGTACCTACAACACTAATATTATCTTGATTATGCAATATGCAGATAATTTTGATTTGATTTATAGTTAGAGATGTCATTTACTGAATCTGAAACACTAGTATCACAAATATTATATGTTTGATTGATCTTTTGTTGAACAATGATGTGTAATTTATTATTTTCATATTAAAATATTTGAAATTGATATATTTTTTTACAAGTATTTAAGTATATTTATAGTTTTTTTAATATAAATTGTAGATTTACATATACTTATCGGGTCATGCGGTTGAACCAGTGACTCACTGGTTGACCCAGTGACCCAGTGACCCAATACCTCGACCGGGTCAATAATCGAGCCGGATTTAATAATATTGGTTAAGAGATTCAATTATTTATCAACTGTGCTGAACTTTATTGGCAAGAAAGATTTCTTTTACATCTTACCACAACGAAGCACGCGCGGGGCCTATTTTATTTAATAGATGCAGACGGCTGATTGTTCACGAATTCCTTTCATTTTGGGCCTAGGGAGGTACGTGGAGGGTCATTTTTAATCAAATGATTCTTGAACGCCGTTTACATATGATACTTCAACGAATTATAAACTTTTTTGTTTTCAACGCGTATTATTTAATTAATAATAAATTATTATATTATAATTAATCATTAACATGTCAATATATATTGCTAGCTAGAAAATTTTATATCAACCGACAACTAGTATAAAAATGATAATCAAAATCTGGTTTGCAAATAGGTGTTGTTCTAAAAAATACAAGCAGTACATAGGAGATACATTCACTCTGCTTTTACATGTGTATGGTCATCTTCGTCGTACAAATAATTCTTAGGAAACCCAAGTTCTTCTTTATCATCACATGATCACCGAGTTATATTAGCACTTTGCTCAAGAATCGTGATGCAATTACAATTGGCCCATTATACATGGCATAATCATTGATTCAAGAAGCTCGTAGTCAACTAGAATTCTGACCCAATAAGTATGACCCAATTGTTGAAAGAGGCAATGATTTAAAATATAATAAATTACAATCGGATCCAAGTCTCAGTAAAGTAGCATATGTGATTATGATTTGTTTGGAAAGAAATGGAAAGCAACATATTTGGCATGATTTGAGATTAAATATTTGGGATGTATTTTGAATTATTTATTTGTAAGTTTTTATTTATTTTTTAGATGTTAATTACTTTTATTTATTTTAGAAAGTTTTATTATTTTTAGAATTTTAGAGTTTTGAATTTTGAATCAATTTGTAATTAGTCTATAAAAGGGTGCTTATGACCCTTATTCTAGGAGTTAAATTTTGTTATTTTGTTAATTGAAATTGAGAACCGGAGGGTTACTCTTTTGTGAAATTCTAACTTTCTGTTTAGCCACTTTTTCTATGCACTTTCGGCATCATTTGGTATCAGAGCACTAGGTTGCCTTCAACCAATGGCTGAACAGAATCGTGGAGGTCGACGACAGCAGAGTCACGAGGGTAGGAACGTGGATTCGTTCTTGAAGAATATAGACAACTGTGTCAGATTGACCCGCGAGATATAAAAAATGAAGAGCTTGGAAGGCGGATCCAGGATTTGAAGCAACAACTTGAGCAAGCGTTGGACAAGAAAATCCAAGTTTTGAAACAACTATGTATGCGGGCACAGAGAAAGAGAATTCAAAATTTGGAGCGACGACTCGTGCGGGTATGCATCAAAATTCAAATTTTGAAGCAAACTCTTGTGGAGGTGCAGAGCATGGAAATTCAATATTTGGAGCGGCGACTTGCGTGGACAAAGTTGTGCATTGAATCCGACAAAGGAATGGAATTAGATGACGAAGAAGAGGACGTCAATCTCTTGGGGATTCTAAACCAGGGACAGAATTGAGAAGTACGATCTGGAAATCAGTCCAGTTTTCAAGATATCGAGATGCAAATCAGCATTCCTGACTTTGAAGTCTATGAACATAATCCAGTTTGTGATGATGATCCGATCTATGATGATAATCCAATTTATGATGATTATTCGATTGTTGATAATTATCCCATTTATGATGATTATCCATCTTATGATGAAGATTCAGTTTATGATGATGATCCAGTCTATGATAAATCTGATGGTGAATCAGATTATGAAGATCTAATAGAGGAAGATTTATCATTTGAATTTTTGTTTAAAGAAATTGAGATCAGTGGAGATAAAACAGATTCGAAGACGAATCTTTTCCTAGGGAGAATGATGCACTTACAATTGGCCCATTGTACATAGCCCAACCATTGATTCAAGAAGCTCGTAGTCAACTAGAATTGTGTCCCAATAAGTATGACCCAATTGTTGAAAGAGACAATGATTTAAAATATAATAAATTACAATCGGATCCAAGTCTCAATAAAGCAACATATGTAATTATGATTTGTTTGGGAAGAGAAAGAAAGCAACATATTTAGCATGATTTGAGATTAAAGATTTAGGATGTATTTTGAATTATTTATTTGTAAGTTTTTATTTATTTTTTAGATGTTAATTACTTTTATTTATTTTAGGAAATTTTATTATTTTTTGAATTTTAGATTTTTGAATTTTGAATCAATTTGTAATTAGTCTATAAAAGAGTGCTTATGACCCTTATTCTAGGAGTTAAATTTTGTTATTTTGTTAATTGAAATTGAGAACCGGAGAGTTACTCTTTTGTGAAATCTTAACTTTCTGTTTAGCCACTTTTTTTATGCGCTTTCGGCGTCAAATCATTTTAATTTGCTGAAATTCTTTTTGTCTGAGTAATGATTTTTGTTTACTTTTTCTTATATATTTTGTGCATAATATTGTTCTACGAAAAAATAGTAACTAGCAAAAACAAAGGGTTTTAATATTTTTATTTTTAATGCAGAAAATATTTTTCTAGTATATTCATAAAAAAGTGAATGGGTTTTATTAAAAAAAAAAAAATTTCTTTTTATACGAGTGTAACAGAAAAATATTTTATACAATAAAAACAGAAATATTTTTTCCTGCCTCTCTAAGTAAAGTGGGGAGGGGAGAAAAATAAACTCCTAGCGCCTATTTTACCAACTGCCCTTGGAAGCTAAATATTAAGTTCATTGAGTGCGATTTTGACATTGAACATTTCTTCCCAGCAAAGGAAACTTAAAAAAAGAGAAAAGTGTGAGCTTCAATAAATTTGTGCTTAAAGGGAAATCTACTACACATTCTTTTGGTGTTGCCTTTAACTGAAAAAGGCATTACCCCAAGGCTAATAAATTTGTGGCAAGCCGCAAAATAGATGCACATGGGACTATGGGTGTAGTGCAGGTAAAGCAAAAACAGAGAAATCTTCCCTTATTAAAAGAAGAAAAATATCTGATAGAGTAAAGCATACTTATTATTCTAGTTAGTCGTGATATATGCTTCGTGGTCTAACTCGTGGAAGTGACGACCTGCGTAACCATTAAAAGTGACTTCTACTAGCAAATTACTGCTAAGCGCTGAGGCCTTTGGTGGTGTCAGCCTTCTTCTGTGGCAGGCAACAAGTAGTCCAAAACGTGGCTTTGTAATTTGTCATCGGTGATGTAATTCATCACCATACATGATTCCAGGGAATCTCTGAATATGTGTAGCACTAATAAAAAGTTTCATTGAAACATTTGGTTCAATTCGTTCATTCTCAATTTGAACGAAGGGAACATAAGGACCCCAAAAATGGAGAATGGCGCCTGTAAATTGATTGAGCCGTAATTGCATGCCATAAAGTTAGGTCAAACGTATACCTGAAGAAAACAAAAACAAATTTTGGGAATAAAGTTAGACGTGAGCTAGTTAATAGGATGGCACTTGATTTCAACAAATATAATAGGATGGCACTTGATTTCAACAAATATAAAAAGATTCCTTAAGTTGCTGGTCGATACTTTTTGTTTGTTCCAAACTCCAATAATATAAAAAATAGGTTCTTGAAAATGTTGTATTACTGAATTTTATGATCTTAAATATATTAAATTATATGGGATATAATATTCTTATACCGGTATAAGAGTTAGAAGTTTTACACTCAATCTTGACCATTGATTCACTTGTATCCAATGACTCACATTACTAAAAAAATTAGAGCCCTTAGATATAAATAGAATCAACGGACAAGATTGAGAGTGTAACTTACACTGGTGTAAAATTATCGTGACCCAAATTTTATATATATATATATAGCTAGCTCATGTATGTTAATCATTAGTGTATTAAACCTGGTAGTACTAACCACATTCGTAGAAGGGGTAATGGGTAGTAGTCTAGTAGACACTATATAATAATACATTGAGTCGTTGAGTTTACTTTTCTATACATTTATATATAATATAAAAGTTTTTTCACTGTTATTGTCACATGTCAATTTTCTAAGTTTTGATATATTTAGTCTATTTTTCTGTTCATAACTGTTCATGTTGAGTGTACTCTGATCTCCATTACCCGAAATCGTTAGAACTAGATAGTTTACAAAAAAAAACCCACAAGACTACAAAATAGAAAAGCATCGTTGTGTCGGTGCCAACCCCTTCAAGCAATAAGTTTACAGAAAAGAACTAGACAACAAACTGGAAAGGCATCGTTGTGTCGGTGGTTACCCCTTCAAGCAATCCCAAGGTAAAACCCAACAGCACACGAAACCAAGGTTCAAGGCTTTCAAGCAGTACAAAAATAATAGTAATGACAACACCATAATCAATAATAGAATAATACGAGTTTGAAGGAAACAATGGTAAATAAATTTAATCTCAGCCCATAACAGGGCCCAAAAAAAGAAAATAAATTATACAAGAATATCGTAACAACAGCAATGAAGTCACTGTCTCTTAGAATATCAAAACAAGGGTAGCCCAGCCCAAAGCCAAGCATCCTATCATCTTCTTCAAGCACCTGATGGTTTCGGCTCCATTCTGCAATATAAAAACCGCAGAAATTTCAGATCCCAATAACAAACTCAAATAATTTTTTTACCTGTAATAGTAATTTGCTTTGTCACGGAACCACGGACAAACATATTTAATAGTTCATAAGACCAAAGCATGATACATTCTGACAACAATTGAATTCTTAAGATTTTATTTTCCTTTCGGCCTCTGGACACGTTCACTCGGACACTCACAATGTAACCTTGGGCCGTAATTATTTAACGTGTTTTTTGCTACATCTTTGTAGAAGAACATCGGTTCTCTAAAAAGGATTTAGAATAATTATTCTCAATTAAAGAAAGGACTAAACGCCATAAGAGTAAGACATTTGAGTTCAATGATGTTGTAGGGAAAATGGACTCGCCCTGAAATTCAGCTTAAGAAAAACTAAACTGAGGTTATAGTCAACTAAGCACATCTTAAAGTCTCAGGTCACTACTCAGATCTGAGACCATATTTGTAAATTGCAGATCTGATGCAAATTGTACGAACAGCAAAAATATTAGAAGTGAAAGCACTGAGAGGAAACAAGGACGTACCTCGTTCTCAGAGGAAGCTGGACCAGGAGAAGATGCATCCTGGCTGGGTCCGGGAGCTTCGGCCGGCGGTGCAGGAGGACCTAGCAATGACGGTGACGGTGCTGGTGCATTGTGCTTCTTACCCTTCTTCACCTTCTTCTTTGACTTTGACTTGCTCGGAGCCGGAGCGGGAACCTCAGCAGTCGGTGCTACCACAGGTGCGGGAGTTGTCGGCGCGGGTGCAGGGGGAGATTTCTCTGGTGGAGAGCTCACCGGAACAGGAGCAGGCGGAGAACTCACCGGAACCGGTGCTGGTGGCGAACTCACTGGAGTCACTGCCGGAGGTGACGACGCCGGAGGTTTAACCGCCGGAGCTGGAGCAGCGGCTTTAGACGGAGATGAAGCTGGAGATGCCGGCTTCGGAGACGCTGCGGGGGTTGCAGTTGCAGCATTGGGGGAAGAAGCTGGTGGTGTTGACTTGGGAGAAGCAACCGGCGCTGGCGATTTTGGTTTGGAAGGGGCTGCCGCAGGGGATGTAGCAGGAGGAGTGGTGGTAACCGGAGATGTGGTAGGCGCCGCCGTTGGAGACTGACCTCCGACGCCGGCGACAACAATGCAGATCAATGCGAGGGAGAGCACACTACGCCTATCCATTTGGTTGTGTGTTTGAGAGTGAGATGGGGGCATTCAGCAGTGTAGCTAAATATTTATAAATATAGGCCCTCTCAGTTCTGATGCTGTGTCAGAACAAAATAAACGGCTGTTGATTAATCTGTATCCTTTGGCTAACGTGGGTCCCCGAATATTTGGCCCACCACTAGCCGTTGGATCAATGTATTTGGAATAAATTTTTAATTCATCAAATGATTTCAGTGCATCACATCTATTTTGTGATATCTTGATAAAAAAATATTATATCATCTAAAAAATATAATGGTGTGATATATTTTTTTTTTTTTGTATATTAATGGTGTGATATTTTATGTGCATATATCACAAAATAATTAAACACATGTATTGAATCTTCAATCCATCCAATACGCTAAGGGCTTGTTTGGTGTGACGTATAAAGCATGATAATATAAGCTTATACTATATGTTATGACATTTTCAGTTGTTTAGTGTGACCATCGTATAGTATAAGCTTATACAGCAGAATCTTTTAATACATTAAAACGATGTATAACTTAATTCGGCCTAAGGGAGAAGTATAAGGCCTGATAAAAGATTAGTATATTAACTTCGTTGACCAATGTAATTCTTAAAAATTAATATATTATTTTAATATTAATCTATTAAAATAAAAATTAATTTTTCAATATATTAATTTTTAAAATACTGAATATTTTTATTTTTATAAAAATTAATTTATATTTTGGACACACTGATCAATAAATTTTTAAAAAAATTAATATCATATGATATTTTTTGAAGAATTGTATAAATTCTTTATTAAAAGATATTTTTATTAAAAATATTTATTTTTATCCTATATAGTATTATATAGTGCATTACCAAATACTGGATGATATTATCTTATACAATATATTATTTTATACAATACCGTATCAAACGCTGGATAGTATTAAAACTTAATCAAACCTTATACTATCAAGTCTTATCTTATACTATATATCAAACATGCTCTAAAGATTTATTCGTATATTTGGGGCAGGCCACAGAAGGTTCGGAACCAAACAAAGATTTACTGTTGTTGGGCGATTCGCCATTTCACCTAGTTCGGGGCCTGACCCATTTCGCCCTTTAGGCGCGTGGGATATCGCTGGGTTGATTACATGGGACATTTGCATAACACATGCTTTAGGCGTGTAAAAGTAAAAGTGGAAAACTCTTTTTGGTTCTTGAAAATTATTATTATTTTATTAATTTAATTTTTAAACTTTTCTTAAACTATAAATATTTATTTAAGAACTCGGATAAATCTTGTTTGTCAAATATAAAAACTTTATTTAAAATTAGATTCCCTTTTATGCGGTTACTGTGATAAATTATCTGCAGTAAGTTTAATACGATATCATTTTATAACAGAAATTATTGTATTTTTATAATTTTAATTTATTTCATGATTATTATAGTCTTTATAATTATAATTTTTTAATTTTTCAATACAAAAACAATGTCCTTTTGAAAATAAATACAAATAATTTATCTGCAGTAATTGCAGATGTTTCACTAGAAATATTCTTGTTATTGCTTCGACTCATATTCTCGAAAAAGTAGATCCCGCTCTAATAGCTCCGAATAAATTAAATACATGTATTAAGATACGGAGCATCCGTCAACAAAAAGATTACCCTAAGATGATCATCTCATGACTATTGAGAACGAATCAAATCAAATGATTCTATTTCTCAATCTTTTCAACCTCAGTTCTGTAGAAGTTAATCATAAAGATTGAAAAAAATCGATCATTCACAATCACCGAGAAATATTTTTCTCTTTAAAATTTTAGTTAAATTATAATAACCTAATATTTTATACAACACCTGTTAAATGGTGTAATATAATTATAGCTTCTCAGATAGAAGGTTAGGTGTATCATATATGTATCTCACCGTCAGCAGCATCTCGGCTGTTGGTGTTGGTGATACAGCTGGATTGGTTTGGTGGGGGCATATCATTGTGTAACGAACCAACCTATGAGAGCAAGAAACGATTTCTGGCAATAATTGCGCGAAAGATTACAAGCGGGAGCTGATAATATTACCGACACAACTAGCCCCACCGCCAGCGAACATGCCTTCATCCTTCAACCGTCCCATTATCTTATTTTTGAAAATCTTGTTCTTCCTTCTTTATGAATGCCCTTGGTCCTATATTAAATTTAAATGAGTCTTTTATTTTTTCTTACATTGAAACATCATTTACCTATAAATTTCTTCACTTTTAATTTTCAAAAAATATAATGCATAGCACGTTATGGTCAATTTAATGTAAAGAATTACTGCGCTTAATTATAACAATTGGTTTTTATTATTATTTTATTTTTGGATATGTCAAATTGTATTCTATTTTATATATTTATATTTCTAAAAAAACAAATATAAAATATAAAAATATATTACGATGTAAACCCAAAAAAGTTAATGGCGTGTTTTTGAAAAGAAAAATGATTCTTACATATTCATCACCTCATACTTACATAGTTCTCGTTATTTGATTGTAACTAGTTCAGTACAATCTTCTGCATACTCACACTCGGATTCTCCGCAGGTGTCTTATGTTAATTGATGCACCTCTAATGCAAGAATTTCAATCTGCCTTAAAGAAAATTAATAACATGAGAAATGTATGTCATTTTCTTCTTCTTTCGATACAGTTATCTCCATTGGTAAGGGTGTTCTAAATAGTAATTATGTAGTCATTTATTAGTAATTATGTAGTCATTTATTTGTATTTATTTAGTCTGTTACTTGTATATTGGGTCAAGCCCATTAGGTCAAAATTAGGTCAAGAAGTCTCTATAAATAGAGACCCCTATGTACAGATTCAAATACAAATCAATAATATTTCATAACCCTTTTTCAAGTTGGTATCAGAGCTCTCGATCCGGAGGGCTCTGCTTCCGCGCCTATTGTCTTTTATTTTTTTTTACAAAACCCTAATTTCTTTGCCTCTTGCTGCCATCAGCCGCCACCGGAAAATTTTTTCCGGAGACCTTTTGGACCAAGGGGACCACTGTTGACCTTCTTTTTTTTTCGTTCTATCATTCTACGCAACGTTCCTCCGCCACAAACGACCCAAACACCTTCGACTGCCTTCAACCAGTTCTGTCTTCACCGTTTAGAACCCTTTCCGGTGACTTTTCAACCGCAACCACCCACAGACAGGTGCGCGCTCACCGGACGACCACACCGGAAAAATTTCAGCCGGAGAAGCCTTGCCACGCGCTCTCACGTGCTGCCTCTTTGTCCGAGAGTGAAGCCCACGCGCAGCTGCTTTCTCCGGTGCGTGGAGGCGCGTCCGGCGGTGTTTCTGGACCGGACCACCACCATTCTTCTCGTCTGCTTGTTCTCTTTCTGGATCTGTGTTGTTTTCTCAGATCGGACATCGTTTGGTATTTTTTCTGAATTTTTTGGCTTCTTAGAGCCTTTTTCGTTGACTGTTTTTTGTGCAGTATGGCCTCTTCTCAAAAGAGTTCCTTTACAAAGTTTTATGATGGTGCATCTTCTAAACCTAAGAAAGATGATCGATGGTGTTCTTATTGTAAAAGAACAGGTCATATAAAGGATTTATGCTTTCGCCTCCATGGAAAGCAAACTGTCTTAGAAAATATGGCAAGGATGCGTGGTCAAGCGCATTTTACTTCCTTTGGAATAACTCCTGCACCTAATGAGACCCAACCTGCATTTCGTCTAGATGAGTTAGAACGGCTCCGAACCATCCTTGATTATCTGAGTAAGCCATATGATACTAGTGCTTTGGCTTTGACTGGTATGAGCCCCAAAACTCATTCTTTCCTTTCTTCATGTAATGATTTTAAACATTCCTGGGTTGTTGATTCTGGTGCTACTGATCATATGGCTTATTGTGCTGACTCCTTTGCTTCTTATCATCCTACCATTGGAACTCATACTATAGCCATAGCTGATGGCTCACATACATCAGTTGCGGGTTCTGGTGACATAAACTTACAACAGTCCTTACATCTTAAAGATGTTCTTCATGTTCCTAAACTCTCCACGAATCTTCTTTCTATTCATAAAATTACAAAATATCTAAATTGTACTGTAACCTTCTTCCCTACCCATTGTGTTTTTCAGGATCTCGCCACGGGGAAGACGATTGGTAGTGCTAAAGAGCAAGGTGGGCTGTACTATCTGGTGTCACAATCTCCTGCAAATAAAGTAACAGATCACATCTTGATGTCTCATGGTCAATCAACTGCTGATTCTTTGATTTGGCTTCATCATAAGCGCTTGGGACATCCTCCATTTGGTTTACTCAAGTCTTTATTTTCGTCATTGTTTTTATCTAAGCCTGTTGAGTCTTTTCATTGTGATGTTTGTGAGTTTGCTAACCATCATCGTGTGTCTTTTCCTTCTAGTAGTACTAAGAGTGTTGAACCTTTTGATCTTATTCATTCTGATGTTTGGGGTCCTTCTAAAGTCCCCCATGCTTCTGGAAATAAATGGTTTGTTTCTTTTATTGATGATTGCACTCGTGTAATTTGGGTTTACTTAATGCATGAAAAGTCTGAGGTACCACATCTGTTCTTTCAATTTTATAAAATGGTTGAGACCCAATTTGGTAGAAAAATCAAGAGACTAAGAACAAATAATGGTACTGAATATGTTAATCACAATTTTTCCCAATTTATACGAAATCAAGGTATGATTCATGAACTTACTTGTGTAGACACCCCTCAACAAAATGGGGTTGCTGAAAAAAAAAATCGTCACCTTCTTGAAGTTGCTCGTGCCTTACTGTTTCAAACACATGTACCCAAATGCTATTGGGGAGATGCCATTCTTAGCAGCGTTCTTGATCAACCGTCTACCCACTCGGGTTCTCGATCATGTAAGTCTTATTCACTCTATGACTTCTTTTTTTCCTTCTGTTCCAACTTTGCAAAGTCTTCCTCCTCGAGTGTTTGGGTGTGTTGTCTTTGTTCATATTCATAAACAGCATCACAGTAA